CCCGCCCCATTCTCCCGCTTTCCATCACCCCCCCCATTCTCCGCTTTCCATCACCCCGCCCCATTCTCCCGCTTTCCATCACCCGCCCCATTCTCCCGCTTTCCATCACCCCGCCCATTCTCCCGCTTTCCATCACCCCGCCCCATTCTCCGCTTTCCATCACCCCGCCCCATTCTCCCGCTTTCCATCACCCCGCCCCATTCTCCCGCCTTCCATCACCCCGCCCCATTCTCCGCTTTCCATCCCCGCCCCATTCCTCCCGCTTTCCATCACCCCGCCCCATTCTCCCTCCTTCCATCACCCCGCCCCATTCTCCCTCCTTCCATCACCCCGCCCCATTCTCCCGCTTTCCATCACCCCGCCCCATTCTCCCGCTTTCCATCACCCCGCCCCATTCTCCCGCTTTCCATCACCCCGCCCCATTCTCCCGCTTTCCATCACCCCGCCCCATTCTCCGCTTTCCATCACCGCCCCATTCTCCGCTTTCCATCACCCCGCCCCATTCTCCCGCTTTCCATCACCCCGCCCCATTCTCCCGCTTTCCATCACCCCGCCCCATTCTCCCGCTTTCCATCACCCCGCCCCATTCTCCCGCTTTCCATCACCCCGCCCCATTCTCCCGCTTTCCATCACCCCCCCCATTCTCCCTCTTTCCATCACCCCGCCCCATTCTCCCGCTTTCCATCACCCCGCCCCATTCTCCCGCTTTCCATCACCCCGCCCCATTCTCCCGCTTTCCATCACCCCGCCCCATTCTCCCGCTTTCCATCACCCCGCCCCATTCTCCCGCTTTCCATCACCCCGCCCCATTCTCCCGCTTTCCATCACCCCGCCCCATTCTCCTGCTTTCCATCACCCCGCCCCATTCTCCCGCTTTCCATCACCCCGCCCCATTCTCCCGCTTTCCATCACCCCGCCCCATTCTCCCGCTTTCCATCACCCCGCCCCATTCTCCCGCTTTCCATCACCCCGCCCATTCTCCCGCTTTCCATCACCCGCCCCATTCTCCCGCTTTCCATCACCCCGCCCCATTCTCCCGCTTTCCATCACCCCGCCCCATTCTCCCGCTTTCCATCACCCGCCCCATTCTCCCGCTTTCCATCACCCCGCCCCATTCTCCTCCTTCCATCACCCCGCCCCATTCTCCCGCTTTCCATCACCCCGCCCCATTCTCCCTCCTTTCCATCACCCCTCCCCATTCTCCCGCTTTCCATCACCCCGCCCCATTCTCCCGCTTCCATCACCCCGCCCCATTCTCCCTCCTTCCATCACCCCGCCCCATTCTCCCGCTTTCCATCACCCCGCCCCATTCTCCCGCTTTCCATCACCCCGCCCCATTCTCCCGCTTTCCATCACCCCGCCCCATTCTCCCGCTTTCCATCACCCCGCCCCATTCTCCCTCTTTCCATCACCCCGCCCCATTCTCCCTCCTTCCATCACCCCGCCCCATTCTCCCGCTTTCCATCACCCCGCCCCATTCTCCCTCCTTCCATCACCCCGCCCCATTCTCCCTCTTTCCATCACCCCGCCCCATTCTCCCGCTTTCCATCACCCCGCCTCATTCTCCCGCTTTCCATCACCCCTCCCCATTCTCCCGCTTTCCATCACCCCGCCCCATTCTCCCGCTTTCCATCACCCCGCCCCATTCTCCCGCTTCCATCACCCCGCCCCATTCTCCCGCTTTCCATCACCCCGCCCCATTCTCCCGCTTTCCATCACCCCGCCCCATTCTCCCGCTTTCCATCACCCCGCCCCATTCTCCTCCTTTCCATCACCCCGCCCCATTCTCCTCCTTCCATCACCCCGCCCCATTCTCCCTCTTTCCATCACCCCGCCCCATTCTCCCGCTTTCCATCACCCCGCCCATTCTCCCGCTTTCCATCACCCCGCCCCATTCTCCCGCTTTCCATCACCCCGCCCCATTCTCCCGCTTTCCATCACCCCGCCCCATTCTCCCGCTTTCCATCACCCCGCCCCATTCTCCCCCTTTCCATCACCCCGCCCCATTCTCCCGCTTTCACCCGCCCCATTCTCCCGCTTTCCATCACCCCGCCCCATTCTCCCCCCTTCCATCACCCCGCCCCATTCTCCCGCTTTCCATCACCACCCCATTCATTCTACCGCTTTCCATCACCCGCCCCATTCTCCCGCTTTCCATCACCCCGCCCCATTCTCCCGCTTTCCATCACCCCGCCCCACTTCTCCCCTTCCATCACACCCGCCCCATTCTCCCGCTTTCCATCACCCCCGCCCATTCTCCCGCTTTCCATCACCCCGCCCCATTCTCCCCCTTCCATCACCCCGCCCCATTCTCCCGCTTTCCATCACCCCGCCCCATTCTCCCGCTTTCCATCACCCCCCCATTCTCCCGCTTTCCATCACCCCGCCCCATTCTCCCGCTTTCCATCACCCCGCCCCATTCTCCCGCTTTCCATCACCCCACCCCATTCTCCCGCTTTCCATCACCCCGCCCCATTCTCCCGCTTTCCATCACCCCGCCCCATGCTCCCGCTTTCCATCACCCCGCCCCATTCTCCCCCTTTCCACCACCCCGCCCCACTCTCCCGCACTCTCCCGCTTTCCATCACCCCGCCCCATTCTCCCGCTTTCCATCACCCCGCCCCATTCTCCCGCTTTCCATCACCCCGCCCCATTCTCCCGCTTTCCATCAACCCGCCCCATTCTCCCGCCATCACCCCGCCCCATTCTCCCGCCTTCCATCACCCGCCCCATTCTCCCGCTTTCCATCACCCCGCCCCATTCTCCCGCTTTCCATCACCCCGCCCCACTCTCCCACACTCTCCCGCTTTCCATCACCCCGCCCCATTCTCCCGCTTTCCATCACCCCGCCCCATTCTCCCGCTTTCCATCACCCCGCCCCATTCTCCCGCTTTCCATCACCCGCCCCATTCTCCCGCTTTCCATCACCCCGCCCCATTCTCCCGCTTTCCATCACCCCGCCCCATTCTCCCGCTTTCCATCACCCCGCCCCATTCTCCCTCTTTCCATCACCCCGCCCCATTCTCCCTCCTTCCATCACCCCGCCCCATTCTCCCCCTTCCATCACCTCGCCCCATTCTCCCGCTTTCCATCACCCCGCCCCATTCTCCCTCCTTCCATCACCCCGCCCCATTCTCCCGCTTTCCATCACCCCGCCCCATTCTCCCGCTTTCCATCACCCCGCCCCATTCTCCCGCTTTCCATCACCCGCCCCATTCTCCCTCCTTCCATCACCCCGCCCCATTTTCCCTCCTTCCATCACCCCGCCCCATTCTCCCTCCTTCCATCACCCCGCCCCATTCTCCCGCTTTCCATCACCCCGCCCCATTCTCCCGATTCCATCACCCCGCCCCATTCTCCCGCTTTCCATCACCCCGCCCCATTCTCCCGCTTTCCATCACCCCGCCCCATTCTCCCGCTTTCCATCACCCCGCCCTATTCTCCCGCTTTCCATCACCCCGCCCCATTCTCCCACTTTCCATCACCCCGCCCCATTCTCCCGCTTTCCATCACCCCGCCCCATTCTCCCGCTTTCCATCACCCCGCCCCATTCTCGCTTTCCATCACCCCGCCCCATTCTCCCGCTTTCCATCACCCCGCCCCATTCTCCCGCTTTCCATCACCCCGCCCCATTCTCCTCCTTACATCACCCCGCCCCATTCTCCCTCCTCCATCACCCCGCCCCATTCTCCCGCTTTCCATCACCCCGCCCCGTTCTCCCGCCCCATTCTCCCGCATTCCATCACCCCGCCCCATTCTCCTGCTTTCTCTCACCCGCCCCTTCTCCCGCTTTCCATCACCCCGCCCCATTCTCCTGCTTTCCATCACCCCGCCCCATTCTCCCGCTTTCCATCACCCCGCCCCATTCTCCCTCCTTCCATCACCCCGCCCATTCTCCCTCCTTCCATCACCCCGCCCCATTCTCCCGCTTTCCATCACCCCGCCCCATTCTCCCGCTTTCCATCACCCCGCCCCATTCTCCCGCTTTCCATCACCCGCCCCATTCTCCCGCTTTCCATCACCCCGCCCCATTCTCCCTCCTTCCATCACCCCGCCCCATTCTCCCTCCTTCCATCACCCCGCCCCATTCTCCCCCTTCCATCACCCCGCCCCATCTCCCGCTTTCCATCACCCCGCCCCATTCTCCCGCTTTCCATCACCCTGCCCCATTCTCCCGTTTCCATCACCCCGCCCCATTCTCCCTCCTTCCATCACCCCGCCCCATTCTCCCTCTTCCATCACCCCGCCCCATTCTCCCTCCTTCCATCATCCCGCCCCATTCTCCCGCTTTCCATCACCCCGCCCCATTCTCCCGCTTTCCATCACCCCGCCCCATTCTCCCTCCTTCCATCACCCCGCCCCATTCTCCCGCTTTCCATCACCCCGCCCCATTCTCCCGCTTTCCATCACCCCGCCCCATTCTCCCGCTTTCCATCACCCGCCCCATTCTCCCGCTTTCCATCACCCCGCCCCATTCTCCCGCTTTCCATCACCCCGTCCCATTCCCCCGCTTTCCATCACCCCGCCCCATTCTCCCTCCTTTCATCACCCCGCCCCATTCTCCCTCCTTCCATCACCCCGCCCATTCTCCCGCTTTCCATCACCCGCCCCATTCTCCCCTTTCCATCACCCCGCCCCATTCTCCCGCTTTCCATCACCCACCCCATTCTCCCGCTTTCCATCACCCCGCCCCATTCTCCCGCTTTCCATCACCCCGCCCCATTCTCCCGCTTTCCATCACCCCGCCCCATTCTCCCCCTTTCCACCACCCCGCCCCACTCTCCCGCACTCTCCCGCTTTCCATCACCCCGCCCCATTCTCCCGCTTTCCATCACCCCGCCCCATTCTCCCGCTTTCCATCACCCGCCCCATTCTCCCGCTTTCCATCAACCCGCCCCATTCTCCCGCCCCATCACCCCGCCCTATTCTCCCGCCTTCCATCACCCCGCCCCATTCTCCCGCTTTTCATCACCTCGCCCCATTCTCCCGCTTTCCACCAGCCCGCCCCACTCTCCCGCACTCTCCCGCTTTCCATCACCCCGCCCCATTCTCCCGCTTTCCATCACCCCGCCCCATTCTCCCGCTTTCCATCACCTCGCCCCATTCTCTCGCTTTCCATCACCCGCCCCATTCTCCCGCTTTCCATCACCCCGCCCCATTCTCCCGCTTTCCATCACCCCGCCCCATTCTCCCGCTTTCCATCACCCCGCCCCATTCTCCCTCCTTCCATCACCCCGCCCCATTCTCCCTCCTTCCATCACCCCGCCCCATTCTCCCGCTTTCCATCACCCCGCCCCATTCTCCCTCTTCCATCACCCCGCCCCATTCTCCCGCTTTCCATCACCCCGCCCCATTCTCCCGCTTTCCATCACCCCGCCCCATTCTCCCCCTTCCATCACCCCGCCCCATTCTCCCGCTTTCCATCACCCCGCCCCATTCTCCCGCTTTCCATCACCCCGCCCCATTCTCCCGCTTTCCATCACCCCGCCCCATTCTCACGCTTTCCATCACCCTGCCCATTCTCCCGCTTTCCATCACCCCACCCGATTCTCCCGCTTTCCATCACCCCGCCCCATTCTCCCGCTTTCCATCACCCCGCCCCATTCTCCCGCTTTCCATCACCCCGCCCCATTCTCCCCCTTTCCACCACCCCGCCCCACTCTCCCGCACTCTCCCGCTTTCCATCACCCCGCCCCATTCTCCCGCTTTCCATCACCCCGCCCCATTCTCTCGCTTTCCATCACCCCGCCCCATTCTCCCGCTTTCCATCACCCCGCCCCATTCTCCCGCTTTCCATCACCCCGCCCCATTCTCCCGCTTTCCATCACCCGCCCCATTCTCCCTCCTTCCATCACCCCGCCCCATTCTCCCTCCTTCCATCACCTCGCCCCATTCTCCCGCTTTCCATCACCCGCCCCATTCTCCCTCCTTCCATCACCCCGCCCCATTCTCCCGCTTTCCATCACCCGCCCCATTCTCCCGCTTTCCATCACCTCGCCCCATTCTCCCGCTTTCCATCACCCCGCCCCATTCTCCCTCCTTCCATCACCCTGCCCCATTCTCCCTCCTTCCATCACCCCGCCCCATTCTCCCTCCTTCCATCACCCCGCCCCATTCTCCCGCTTTCCATCACCCCGCCCCATTCTCCCTCCTTCCATCACCCCGCCCCATTCTCCCGCTTTCCATCACCCCGCCCCATTCTCCCGCTTTCCATCACCCCGCCCCATTCTCCCGCTTTCCATCACCCCGCCCCATTCTCCCTCCTTCCATCACCCCGCCCCATTTTCCTCCTTCCATCACCCCGCCCATTCTCCCTCCTTCCATCACCCCGCCCCATTCTCCCGCTTTCCATCACCCCGCCCCATTCTCCCGCTTTCCCATCACCCCGCCCCATTCTCCCGCTTTCCATCACCCCGCCCCATTCTCCCGCTTTCCATCACCCCGCCCCATTCTCCCGCTTTCCATCACCCCGCCCCATTCTCCCGCTTTCCATCACCCCGCCCCATTCTCCCGCTTTCCATCACCCCGCCCCATTCTCCCGCTTTCCATCACCCGCCCCATTCTCCCGCTTTCCATCACCTCGCCCCATTCTCCGGCTTTCCATCACCCCGCCCCATTCTCCCGCTTTCCATCACCCCGCCCCATTCTCCCGCTTTCCATCACCCCGCCCCATTCTCCCTCCTTCCATCACCCCGCCCCGTTCTCCCTCCTTCCATCACCCCGCCCCATTCTCCCGCTTTCCATCACCCCGCCCCGTTCTCCCGCCCCATTCTCCCGCATCCATCACCCCGCCCCATTCTCCTGCTTTCTCTCACCCGCCCCATTCTCCCGCTTTCCATCACCCCGCCCCATTCTCCTGCTTTCCATCACCCGCCCCATTCTCCCGCTTTCCATCACCCCGCCCCATTCTCCCTCTTTCCATCACCCCGCCCCGTTCTCCCTCCTTCCATCACCCCGCCCCATTCTCCCGCTTTCCATCACCCCGCCCCATTTCCTCGCTTTCCATCACCCCGCCCATTCTCCCGCTTTTCCATCACCCCCGCCCCATTCTCCCGCTTTCCATCAACCCCGCCCCATTCTCCCTCCTTCCATCACCCCGCCCCATTCTTCCCTCCTTCCATCACCCCGCCCCATTCTCCCTCTTCATCACCCCGCCCCATCCTCCGCTTTCCATCACCCCGCCCCATTCTCCCGCTTTCATCACCCCGCCCCATTCTCCCGCTTTCCATCACCCCCGCCCCATTCTCCCTCCTTCCATCACCCCGCCCCATTTTCCCTCCTTCTATCACCCCGCCCCATTCTCCTCCTCTTCCATCACCCCGCCCCATTCTCCCGCTTTCCATCACCCCGCCCCATTCTCCCGCTTTCCATCACCCCGCCCCATTCTCCCTCCTTCCATCACCCCGCCCCATTCTCCCGCTTTCCATCACCCCGCCCCATTCTCCCGCCTTTCCATCACCCCGCCCCCATTCTCCCGCTTTCCATCACCCCGCGCCCCATTCTCTCGCTTTCCATCACCCCGCCCCATTCTCCCTCCTTCCATCACCCCGCCCCCATTCTCCCGCTTTCCATCACCCCGCCCCATTCTCCCTCCTTCCGTCACCCCGCCCCATTCTCCCGCTTTCCATCACCCCGCCCCATTCTCCCGCTTTCCATCACCCCGCCCCATTCTCCCGCTTTCCATCACTCCGCCCATTCTCCCGCTTCCATCACCCCGACCCATTCTCCCCGCTTTCCATCACCTCGCCCCATTCTCCGGCTTTCCATCACCCCGCCCCATTCTCCCGCTTTCCATCACCCCCGCCCCATTCTCCCGCATTTCCATCACCCCGCCCCCGTTCTCCCTCCTTACATCACCCCGCCCCGTTCTCCCTCCTTCCATCACCCCACCCCGTTCTCCCGCTTTCCATCACCCCGCCCCGTTCTCCCGCCCCATTCTCCCGCATTCCATCACCCCGCCCCATTCTCCTGCTTTCTCTCACCCGCCCCATTCTCCCGCTTTCTATCACCCCGCCCCATTCTCCTGCTTTCCATCACCCCGCCCCATTCTCCCGCTGTTCCATCACCCCGCCCCATTTCTCCCGCTTTCCCATCACCCCGCCCATTCTCCCGCTTTCCATCACCCCGCCCCCATTCTCCCGCTTTCCATCACCCCGCCCCATTCTCCCGCTTTCCATCACCCCGCCCCATTCTCCCTCCTTCCATCACCCCGCCCCATTTTCCCTCCTTCTATCACCCCGCCCCATTCTCCCTCCTTCCATCACCCCGCCCCCATTCTCCCGCTTTCCATCACCCCGCCCCATTCTCCCGCTTTCCATCACCCCGCCCCATTCTCCCTCCTTCCATCACCCCGCCCCATTCTCCCGCTTTCCATCACCCCGCCCCATTCTCCCGCTTTTCCATCACCCCGCCCCATTCTCCCGCTTTCCATCACCCCGCCCCATTCTCCCGCTTTCCATCACTCCCGCCCCTATTCTCCCGCTTTCCATCACCCCGCCCCATTCTCCCGCTTTCCATCACCCCGCCCCATTCTCCCGCTTTCCATCACCCCGCCCCATTCTCCCGCTTTCCATCACCCCGCCCCATTCTCCCGCTTTCCATCCACCCCGCCCCATTCTCCCGCTTTCCATCACCCCCGCCCCATTCTCCATCTTCCATCATCCCGCCCCATTCTCCCTCCTTCCATCACCCCGCCCCATCCTCCCGCTTTTCCATCACCCCGCCCCATTCTCCCGCTTTCCATCACCCCGCCCCATTCTCCCGCTTTCCATCACCCCGCCCCATTCTCCCGCTTTCCATCACCCCGCCCCATTCTCCCGCTTTCCATCACCCCGCCCCATTCTCCCGCTTTCCATCACCCCGCCCCATTCTCCCCGCTTCCATCACCCCGCCCCATTCTCCCGCTTTCCATCACCCCGCCCTCATTCTCTCGCTTTCCAATCACCCCGCCCCATTCCTCCCGCTTTCCATCACCACGCCCCATTCTCCCGCTTTCCATCACCCCGCCCCATTCTCCCTCCTTCCATCACCCCGCCCATTCTCCCTCCTTCAATCACCCCGCCCCATTCTCCCTCCTTCCATCACCCCGCCCCCATCCTCCCGCTTTCCATCACCCCCGCCCCATTCTCCCGCTTTTCCATCACCCCGCCCCATTCTCCCGCTTTCCATCACCCCGCCCCATTCTCCCTCCTTCCATCACCCCGCCCCATTTTCCCTCCTTCTATCACCCCGCCCCATTCTCCCTCCTTCCATCACCCCGCCCCATTTCTCCCGCTTTCCATCACCCCGCCCCATTCTCCCGCTTTCATCACCCCGCCCCATTCTCCCGCTTTCCATCACCCCCCGCCCCATCTCCTGCTTTCCATCACCCCGCCCCATTCTCCCGCTTTCCATCACCCCGCCCCATTCTCCCGCTTTCCATCACCCCGCCCCATTCTCCCGCTTTCCATCACTCCGCCCCATTCTCCGGCTTTCCATCACCCCGCCCCATTCTCCCGCTTTCCATCACCCCGCCCCATTCTCCCGCTTTCCATCACCCCGCCCCGTTCTCCCTCCTTACATCACCCCGCCCCGTTCTCCCTCCTTCCATCACCCCGCCCCGTTCTCCCGCTTTCCATCACCCCGCCCCGTTCTCCCGCCCCATTCTCCCGCATTCCATCACCCCGCCCATTCTCCTGCTTTCTCTCACCCGCCCCATTCTCCCGCTTTCTATCACCCCGCCCCATTCTCCCGCTTTCCATCACCCCGCCCCATTCTCCCGCTTTGCATCACCCCGCCCCATTCTCCCGCTTTCCATCACCCCGCCCCATTCTCCCGCTTTCCATCACCCCGCCCCATTCTCCCGCTTTCCATCACCCCGCCCCATTCTCCTCGCTTTCCATCACCCCCGCCCCATTCTCCCTCCTTCCATCACCCCGCCCCATTCTCCCGCTTTCCATCACCCCGCCCCATTCTCCCTCCTTCCGTCACCACCGCCCCATTCTCCCGCTTTCCATCACCCCGCCCCATTCTCCCTCTTCCGTCACCCGCCCCATTCTCCCGCTTTCCATCACCCGCCCCATTCTCCCGCTTTCCATCACCCCGCCCCATTCTCCCGCTTTCCATCACCCCGCCCCATTCTCCCGCTTTCCATCACCCCGCCCCATTCTCCCGCTTTCCATCACCCCGCCCCATTCTCCCCGCTTTCCATCACCCCGCCCCGTTCTCCCGCTTTCCATCACCCCGCCCCGTTCTCCCGCTTTCCATCACCCCGCCCCGTTCTCCCGCTTTCCATCACCCCGCCCCGTTCTCCCGCTTTCCATCACCCCGCCCCGTTTCTCCCCGCTTTCCATCACCCCGCCCCATTCTCCCGCTTTCCATCACCCCGCCCCATTCTCCCGCTTTCCATCACCCCGCCCCATTTCTCCCGCTTTCCATCACCCGCCCCATTCTCCCGCTTTCCATCACCCCGCCCCATTCTCCCGCTTTCCATCACCCCGCCCCATTCTCCCCGCTTTCCATCACCCCGCCCCATTCTCCCGCTTTCCATCACCCCGCCCCATTCTCCCGCTTTCCATCACTCCGCCCCATTCTCCCGCTTTCCATCACCCCGCCCCATTCTCCCGCTTTCCGTCACTCCGCCCCATTCTCCCGCTTTCCATCACCCGCCCCATTCTCCCTCCTTCCGTCACCCCGCCCCATTCTCCCGCTTTCCATCACCCCGCCCCATTCCTCCCGCTTTCCATCACTCCGCCCCATTCTCCCGCTTTCCATCACCTCGCCCCATTCTCCGGCTTTCCATCACCCCGCCCCATTCTCCCGCTTTCCATCACCCCGCCCCATTCTCCCGCTTTCCATCACCCCGCCCCGTTCTCCCTCCTTACATCACCCCGCCCCGTTCTCCCTCCTTCCATCACCCCGCCCCGTTCTCCCGCTTTCCATCACCCCGCCCCGTTCTCCCGCCCCATTCTCCCGCATTCCATCACCCCGCCCCATTCTCCTGCTTTCTCTCACCCGCCCCCTTCTCCCGCTTTCTATCACCCCGCCCCATTCTCCTGCTTTCCATCACCCCGCCCCATTCTCCCGCTTTCCATCACCCCGCCCCGTTCTCCCTCCTTACATCACCCCGCCCCGTTCTCCCTCCTTCCATCACCCCGCCCCGTTCTCCCGCTTTCCATCACCCCGCCCCATTCTCTCGATTTCCATCACCCCGCCCCATTCTCCCGCTTTCCATCACCCCGCCCCATTCTCCCGCTTTCCATCACCCCGCCCCATTCTCCCTCCTTCCATCACCCCGCCCCATTCTCCCTCCTTCCATCACCCCGCCCCATTCTCCCTCCTTCCATCACCCCGCCCCATCCTCCCGCTTTCCATCACCCCGCCCCATTCTCCCGCTTTCCATCACCCCGCCCCATTCTCCCGCTTTCCATCACCCCGCCCCATTCTCCCTCCTTCCATCACCCCGCCCCATTTTCCCTCCTTCTATCACCCCGCCCCATTCTCCCTCCTTCCATCACCCCGCCCCATTCTCCCGCTTTCCATCACCCCGCCCCATTCTCCCGCTTTCCATCACCCCGCCCCATTCTCCCTCCTTCCATCACCCCGCCCCATTCTCCCGCTTTCCATCACCCCGCCCCATTCTCCCGCTTTCCATCACCCCGCCCCATTCTCCCGCTTTCCATCACCCCGCCCCATTCTCTCGCTTTCCATCACCCCGCCCCATTCTCCCTCCTTCCATCACCCCGCCCCATTCTCCCGCTTTCCATCACCCCGCCCCATTCTCCCTCCTTCCGTCACCCCCGCCCCATTCTCCCGCTTTCCATCACCCCGCCCCATTCTCCCGCTTTCCATCACCCCGCCCCATTCTCCCGCTTTCCATCACCCCGCCCCATTCTCCCGCTTTCCATCACCCCGCCCCATTCTCCCGCTTTCCATCACTCGCCCCATTCTCCCGCTTTCCATCACCCCGACTCATTCTCCCGCTTTCCATCACCTCGCCCCATTCTCCGGCTTTCCATCACCCCGCCCCATTCTCCCGCTTTCCATCACCCCGCCCCGTTCTCCCGCTTTCCATCACCCCGCCCCGTTCTCCCTCCTTACATCACCCCGCCCCGTTCTCCCTCCTTCCATCACCCCACCCCGTTCTCCCGCTTTCCATCACCCCGCCCCGTTCTCCCGCCCCATTCTCCCGCATTCCATCACCCCGCCCCATTCTCCTGCTTTCTCTCACCCGCCCCATTCTCCCGCTTTCTATCACCCCGCCCCATTCTCCTGCTTTCCATCACCCCGCCCCATTCTCCCGCTTTCCATCACCCCGCCCCATTCTCCCGCTTTCCATCACCCCGCCCCATTCTCCCGCTTTCCATCACCCCGCCCCATTCTCCCGCTTTCCATCACCCCGCCCCATTCTCCCGCTTTCCATCACCCCGCCCCATTCTCCCGCTTTCCATCACCCCGCCCCATTCTCCCGCTTTCCATCACCCCGCCCCATTCTCCCGCTTTCCATCACCCCGCCCCATTCTCCCGCTTTCCATCACCCCGCCCCATTCTCCCGCTTTCCATCACCCCGCCCCATTCTCCCGCTTTCCATCACCCCGCCCCATTCTCCCGCTTTCCATCACCCCGCCCCATTCTCCCGCTTTCCATCACCCGCCCCATTCTCCCGCTTTCCGTCACTCCGCCCCATTCTCCCGCTTTCCATCACCCCGCCCCATTCTCCCGCTTTCCGTCACTCCGCCCCATTCTCCCGCTTTCCATCACCCCGCCCCATTCTCCCTCCTTCCGTCACCCCGCCCCATTCTCCCGCTTTCCATCACCCCGCCCCATTCTCCCTCTTTCCATCACCCCGCCCCATTCTCCCGCTTTCCATCACCCCGCCCCATTCTCCCGCTTCCATCACCCCGCCCCATTCTCCCGCTTTCCATCACCCCGCCCCATTCTCCCGCTTTCCATCACCCCGCCCCATTCTCCCGCTTTCCATCACCCCGCCCCATTCTCCCGCTTTCCATCACCCCACCCCATTCTCCACTTTCCATCACCCCGCCCCATTCTCCCTCCTTCCATCACCCCGCCCCATTTTCCCTCCTTCCATCACCCCGCCCCATTCTCCCTCCTTCCATCACCCCGCCCATTTTCCCTCCTTCCATCACCCCGCCCCATTCTCCCTCCTTCCATCACCCCGCCCCATTCTCCCGCTTTCCATCACCCCGCCCCATTCTCCCGATTCCCATCACCCCGCCCCATTCTCCCGCTTTCCATCACCCCGCCCCATTCTCCCGCTTTCCATCACCCCGCCCCCATTCTCCCGCTTCCATCACCCCGCCCATTCTCCCGCTTTCCATCACCCCGCCCCATTCTCCCGCTTTCCATCACCCCGCCCCATTCTCCCGCTTTCCATCACCCGCCCCATTCTCCCGCTTTCCATCACCCCGCCCCATTCTCCCGCTTTCCATCACCCCGCCCCATTCTCCCGCTTTCCATCACCCCGCCCCCATTCTCCCGCCTTCCATCACCCCGCCCCGTTCTCCCGCCTTCCATCACCCCGCCCCGTTCTCCCGCTTTCCATCACCCCGCCCCGTTCTCCCGCTTTCCATCACCCCGCCCCGTTCTCCCGCTTTCCATCACCCCGCCCCATTCTCCCGCTTTCCATCACCCCGCCCCAGTCTCCCGCATTCCATCACCCCGCCCCATTCTCCCGCTTTCCATCACCCCGCCCCAGTCTCCCGCTTTCCATCATCCCGCCCCATTCTCCCGCTTTCCATCACCCCGCCCCTTTCTCCCGCTTTCCATCACCCCGCCCCATTCTCCCGCTTTCCATCACCCCGCCCCATTCTCCCGCTTTCCATCACCCCGCCCCATTCTCCCGCTTTCCATCACCCCGCCCCATTCTCCCGCTTTCTATCACCCCGCCCCATTCTCCCGCTTTCCATCACCCCGCCCCATTCTCCCTCCTTCTGTCACCCCGCCCCATTCTCCCTCCTTCTGTCACCCCGTCCCATTCTCCCGCTTTCCATCACCCCATCCCATTCTCCTGCTTTCCATCACCCCGCCCCATTCTCCCTCCTTCCGTCACCCCGCCCCATTCTCCCGCTTTCCATCACCCCGTCCCATTCTCCCGCTTTCCATCACCCCGCCCCGTTCTCCCTCCTTCCATCACCCCGCCCCGTTCTCCCGCTTTCCATCACCCCGCCCCGTTCTCCCGCTTTCCATCACCCCGCCCCATTCTCCCGCATTCCTTCGCCCCGCCCAATTCTCCCGCTTTCCATCACCCCGCCCCATTCTCCCGCTTTCCATCACCCCGCCCCATTCTCCCGATTCCCATCACCCCGCCCCATTCTCCCACTTTCCATCACCCCGCCCCATTCTTCCTCCTTCCATCACCCCGCCCCATTCTCCCTCCTTCCATCACCCCTCCCCATTCTCCCGCTTTCCATCACCCCGCCCCATTCTCCCTCCTTCCGTCACCCCGCCCTATTCTCCCTCCTTCCATCACCCCGCCCCATTCTCCCGCTTTCCATCACCCCTCCCCATTCTCCCGCTTTCCATCACCCCGCCCCATTCTCCTGCTTTCCATCACCCCGCCCCATTCTCCCTCCTTCCATCACCCCGCCCCATTCTCCCTCCTTCCATCACCCCTCCCTATTCTCCCGCTTTCCATCACCCCGCCCCATTCTCCCTCCTTCCGTCACCCCGCCCCATTTTCCCTCCTTCAATCACCCCGCCCCATTCTCCCGCTTTCCATCACCCCACCTCATTCTCTCGCTTTCCATCACCCCTCCCCATTCTCCCGCTTTCCATCACCCCGCCCCATTCTTCCGCTTTCCATCACCCCGCCCCATTCTCCCGCTTTCCATCACCCCGCCCCATTCTCCCGCTTTCCATCACCCCGCCCCATTCTCCCGCTTTCCATCACCCTGCCCCATTCTCCCGCTTTCCATCACCCCGCCCCATTCTCCCGCTTTCCATCACCCCGCCCCATTCTCCTCCTTTCCATCACCCCGCCCCATTCTCCCGCATTCCATAACCCCGCCCCATTCTCCCTCCTTCCATCACCCCGCCCCATTCTCCCTTTTTCCATCACCCCGCCCCATTCTCCCGCTTTCCATCACCCCGCCCCATTCTCCCGCTTTCCATCACCCCGCCCCATTCTCCCGCTTTCCATCACCCCGCCCCATTCTCCCGCTTTCCATCACCCCGCCCCATTCTCCCGCTTTCCATCACCCCGCCCCAATTCTCCCTCCTTCCATCACCCCGCCCCATTCTCCCACTTTCCATCACCCCGCCCCATTCTCCCGATTCCCATCACCCCGCCCCATTCTCCCGCTTTCCATCACCCCGCCCCATTCTCCCTCCTTCCATCACCCCGCCACATTCTCCCTCCTTCCATCACCCCGCCCCATTCTCCCTCCTTCCATCACCCCGCCCCATTCTCCCGCTTTCCATCACCCCGCCCCACTCTCCCGCTTTCCATCACCCCGCCCCATTCTCCCGCTTTCCATCACCCCGCCCCATTCTCCCGCTTTCCATCACCCCGCCCCATTCTCCCGCTTTCCATCACCCCGCCCCATTCTCCCGCTTTCCATCACCCCGCCCCATTCTCCCGCTTTCCATCACCCCGCCCCATTCTCCCGCTTTCCATCACCCCGCCCCATTCTCCCGCTTTCCATCACCCCGCCCCATTCTCCCGCTTTCCATCACCCCGCCCCATTCTCCCGCTTTCCATCACCCCGCCCCATTCTCCCGCTTTCCATCACCCCGCCCCATTCTCCCGCTTTCCATCACCCCGCCCCATTCTCCCGCTTTCCATCACCCCGCCCCATTCTCCCGCTTTCCATCACCCCGCCCCATTCTCCCGCTTTCCATCACCCCGCCCCGTTCTCCCGCTTTCCATCACCCCGCCCCGTTCTCCCTCCTTCCATCACCCCGCCCCGTTCTCCCTCCTTCCATCACCCCGCCCCGTTCTCCCGCTTTCCATCACCCCGCCCCGTTCTCCCGCTTTCCATCACCCCGCCCCATTCTCCCGCATTCCATCACCCCGCCCCATTCTCCCGCTTTCTATCACCCGCCCCATTCTCCCGCTTTCTATCACCCCGCCCCATTCTCCCGCTTTCCATCACCCCGCCCCATTCTCCCTCCTTCTGTCACCCCCCCCCATTCTCCCTCCTTCTGTCACCCCATCCCATTCTCCCGCTTTCCATCACCCCGTCCCATTCTCCCGCTTTCCATCACCCCGCCCCGTTCTCCCTCCTTCCATCACCCCGCCCCGTTCTCCCGCTTTCCATCACCTCGCCCCGTTCTCCCGCTTTCCATCACTCCGCCCCATTCTCCCGCATTCCATCACCCCGCCCAATTCTCCCGCTTTCCATCACCCCGCCCCATTCTCCCGCTTTCCATCAGCCGCCCCATTCTCCCGCTTTCTATCACCCCGTCCCATTCTCCCGCTTTTCATCACCCCGCCCCATTCTCCCGCTTTCCATCACCCCGCCCCATTCTCCCGCTTTCCATCACCCCGCCTCATTCTCCCGCTTTCCATCACCCCGCCCCATTCTCCCGCTTTCCATCACCCCGCCCCATTCTCCCGCTTTCCATCACCCCGCCCCATTCTCCCGCTTTCCATCACCCCGCCCCATTCTCCCGCTTTCCATCACCCCGCCCCATTCTCCCGCTTTCCATCACCCCGCCCCATTCTCCCGCTTTCCATCACCCCGCCCCATTCTCTCGCTTTCCATCACCCTGCCCCATTCTCCCTCCTTCCATCACCCCGCCCCATTCTCCCTCCTTCCATCACCCCGCCCCATTCTCCCTCCTTCCATCACCCCGCCCCATTCTCCCGCTTTCCATCACCCCGCCCCATTCTCCCGCTTTCCATCACCCCGCCCCATTCTCCCGCTTTCCATCACCCCGCCCCATTCTCCCGCTTTCCATCACCCCGCCCCATTCTCCCGCTTTCCATCGCCCCGCCCCATTCTCCCGCTTTCCATCGCCCTGCCCCATTTTCCCGCTTTCCATCACCCCGCCCCATTCTCCCGCTTTCCATCACCCCGCCCCATTCTCCCGCTTTCCATCACCCCGCCCCATTCTCCCGTTTTCCATCACCCCGCCCCATTCTGCCGCTTTCCATCACCCCGCCCCATTCTCCCGCTTTCCATCACCCCGCCCCATTCTCCCGCTTTCCATCGCCCCGCCCCATTCTCCCGCTTTCCATCACCCCGCCCCATTTTCCCGCTTTCCATCACCCCGCCCCATTCTCCCGCTTTCCATCACCCCGCCCCATTCTCCCGCTTTCCATCACCCCGCCCCATTCTCCCGCTTTCCATCACCCCGCCACATTCTCCCTCATTCCATCACCCCGCCCATTCTCCCTCCTTCCATCACCCCGCTCCATTCTCCCGCTTTCCATCACCCCGCCCCATTCTCCCGCTTTCCATCATCCCGCCCCACTCTCCCGCTTTCCATCACCCCGCCCCATTCTCCCGCTTTTCCGTCACCCCGCCCCATTCTTCCGCTTTCCATCACCCCGCCCCATTCTCCCGCTTTCCATCACCCCGCCCCATTCTCCCGCTTTCCATCACCCCGCCCCATTCTCCCGCTTTCCATCACCCCGCCCCATTCTCCCGCTTTCCATCACCCCGCCCCATTCTCCCGCTTTCCATCACCCCGTCCCATTCTCCCTCTTTCCATCACCCCGCCCCTTTCTCCCTCCTTCCATCTCCCCGCCCCATTCTCCCTCCTTCCAACACCCCTCCCAAATCTCCCTCCTTCCATCGCCCCGCCCCATTCTCCCGCTTTCCATCACCCCGCCCCATTCTTTCGCTTTCCATCATCCCGCCCCATTCTCCCGCTTTCCATCACCCCGCCCCATTCTCCCGCTTTCCATCACCCCGCCCCATTCTCCCGTTTTCCATCACCCCGCCCCATTCTCCCGCTTTCCATCACCTCGCCCCATTCTCCCGCTTTCCATCACCCCGCCCCATTCTCCTTCCTTCCATCACCCCGCCTCGTTCTGCCTCCTTCCACCACCCCGCCCCGTTCTCCCGCTTTCCATCACCCCGCCCCATTTTCCCGCTTTCCATCACCCCGCCCCATTCTACCGCTTTCCATCACCCCACCCCATTCTCCCGCTTTCCATCACCCCGCCCCATTCTCCTGTTTTCTATCACCCCGCCCCTTTCTCCCGCTTTCCATCACCCCGCCCCATTCTCCCGCTTTCCATCACCCCGCCCCATTCTCCCACTTTCCATCACCCCGCCCCATTCTCCCGCTTTCTATCACCCCGCCCCATTCTCCCGCTTTCCATCACCCCGCCCCATTCTCCCTCCTTCCATCACCCCGCCCCATTCTCCCTCCTTCCATCACCCCGCCCCATTCTCCCTCCTTCCATCACCCCGCCCCATTCTCCCGCTTTCCATCACCCCGCCCCATTCTCCCGCTTTCCATCACCCCGCCCTATTCTCCCGCTCTCCATCACCCCGCCCCATTCTCCCGCTTTCCATCACCCCGCCCCATTCTCCCGCTTTCCATCACCCCGCCCCATTCTCCCGCTTTCCATCACCCCGCCCCATTCTCCCGCTTTCCATCTCCCCGCCCCATTCTTCCGCTTTCCATCACCCCGCCCCATTCTCCCGCTTTCCATCATCCCGCCCCACTCTCCTGCTTTCCATCACCCCGCCCCATTCTCCCGCTTTCCATCACCCTGCCCCATTCTCCCGCCTTCCATCACCCCGCCCCATTCTCCCGCTTTCCATCACCCCGCCCCATTCTCCCGCTTTCCATCACCCCGCCCCATTCTCCCGCTTTCCATCACCCCGCCCCATTCACCCGCTTTCCATCACCCCGCCCCATTCTCCCGCTTTCCATCACCCCGTCCCATTCTCCCTCTTTCCATCACCCCGCCCCTTTCTCCCTCCTTCCATCTCCCCGCCCCATTCTCCCTCCTTCCATCACCCCGCCCCATTCTCCCTCCTTCCATCACCCCGCCCCATTCTCCCGCTTTCCATCACCCCGCCCCATTCTCCCGCTTTCCATCACCCCGCCCTATTCTCCCGCTCTCCATCACCCCGCCCCATTCTCCCGCTTTCCATCACCCCGCCCCATTCTCCCGCTTTCCATCACCCCGCCCCATTCTCCCGCTTTCCATCACCCCGCCCCATTCTCCCGCTTTCCATCTCCCCGCCCCATTCTTCCGCTTTCCATCACCCCGCCCCATTCTCCCGCTTTCCATCATCCCGCCCCACTCTCCTGCTTTCCATCACCCCGCCCCATTCTCCCGCTTTCCATCACCCTGCCCCATTCTCCCGCTTTCCATCACCCCGCCCCATTCTCCCGCTTTCCATCACCCCGCCCCATTCTCCCGCTTTCCATCACCCCGCCCCATTCTCCCGCTTTCCATCACCCCGCCCCATTCTCCCGCTTTCCATCACCCCGCCCCATTCTCCCGCTTTCCATCACCCCGTCCCATTCTCCCTCTTTCCATCACCCCGCCCCTTTCTCCCTCCTTCCATCTCCCCGCCCCATTCTCCCTCCTTCCATCACCCCGCCCCATTCTCCCTCCTTCCATCACCCTGCCCCATTCCCCCGCTTTCCATCATCCCGCCCCACTCTCCCGCTTTCCATCACCCCGCCCCATTCTCTCGCTTTCCATCACCCCGCCCCATTCTCCCGCTTTCCATCACCCCGCCCCATTCTCCCGCTTTCCATCACCCCGCCCCATATGCAACAACATTCAGGTCGTTCGATGGTTTTCACTACCCCTATAGGGATCCATACGCTTCGTTACCATTTGTAGGCAGAGACAGCCGTCATCGCAGGTGCCGAACTTTTCGGTGCCCACGAACCAAGCTGTAATTGCTCTGGTAGGTGTATTTAGACGGCCACTCGAATATGCAACAACATTCAAGTCTTTCGATGTTTTTCCTTATGCCTAAAGGGATCCATGCGCTTCGTTAGCATTTGTCGGCAGACACTGCCGTCATCGCAAGCGCCGAACTTTTCTGTGCGCACGAACCAAGCTGAAATTGCTCTGGTATGTGTATTTGAACATGGGCCACCCGAATATGCAACAACATTCAGGAGCAGTTTCGTTTCGTAGCTGCGTTTACTACTCTCATAGATTCTCGATTTCACATTCTCTAGTACCGCAGGCACTGCAGGCAATCTCATGCACACAGATTTTTATACGATGTAGAGTACAGCCAACAGCATATGTACGGCATTGTTGTGGAAGTGACGCAATGAGGAAAGTAGCCTCTTTTCTTTTTAGCCTGTAGTAGTCTCTGCTTCATGCAACCATGACTGTGGCAGTTCCCAGCTCTCATGCCATGTAATGACTGCATGGGTCACAGCACCACCCCTTACTGCAACTTGCTGAGAAGCCATCCCCTTATCCTTCAGCCGGCCCCATACTGTGGGTGTGCTGCCATTGCCCAGCAGGTGCAGGGGCAGCCACACATAGCGTGAGTCAGCGAGGTCGTGCTTGTTCCACCGGTCTGCTAAAAACACAAACACGCCGGGCGGGGCGTTGGGCAGCGGCAGCACAAACATGCCCTGCGACTCGAACGTGCTGCTGCATGAGGGCGCCCATGCACCAGGCGCCGACTCGCCCTGCCACGGCCACCTTTGCTGCTGCTGCTGGTGCTGGTGCTGGTGGTGGTGGTTGGAGCATGGTGCGCCCAGCAGGCGCCACTCACCCATCATGTGCGACGCCACATGCACCTCAGCCTCATTGGGGTCCCACCCTGTGCATGCTGACGTCACCAGGAAGTAATGCTGCCGTAGGGAAAAAGCCACAGGCAAGGAGGAGAAGCAGGAGCGGTGGGGACATACACATGAAGGCATGCCATGCCATGCCATCCCATGCCATGCAATGCAATGCAGCCACAGGGGCGCCGGACAGCAGCGCACATGCGAGTGAGAGGGCACTGACTTGTTGATACTTGAAGATGGCGGGCGCCTCCCTGGAGCGCCCCACAAAGCGCCGCACAAAGCCACCGTCGACGTCAAGGTAGTCGGGGGTGAGGCGTGCAATGTGCAGCACGGCGTTCATCTCACTGGCGTACACCACGTACGCCACCCCGTCCTCGTCCCCAAACACCGTCATGTCCCGACTCTCCTGCCCGTTCGGCCGGAACCTGCCCACGTACTGCCCACACACGACGCATCAGCACACCCCACCACACATGCTCCATGTCGCTTGCACGTATGGACAATAGGAGTGAATGGGCCTACAGCAAAAGGACAAGAAAAAACTGAGTGGGGAAAGATTTCGAAGGGCGGGCGAGGAATGCAAGAAAGGCCGAAGGGGTGCGGTTGGAAACAGCAGGGCGAGCGAGGTACCGTGAAGGGGCCGTGCGGATGGGAGCTGACGGCGACGCCTGTGCTGGCGAGGTGGTAGGCGGCGTCGTCGACGTGCAGCCACAAGACGTAGCGGCGCGAGGGCGCGTGGAAGAGCACCTTGGGGCGCTCCATCACGCGGCTCACGTGCAGGTCGCTGGCGGGGTCGTGCGTGTTGGGCGCCAGCACCACCCCGTGCGCCTGCCAGTGCAGCAGGTCCGACGAGCTGTAGCAGCTGATGCCCACCACGTCCACCTGCTCTGCTCCAACGGTCGCACGGGGGGGGGGGGAGAGAGCAAGGGCGGGCAGGGCGGAAGGGAGGAGGGCAGGAGAGGGAGGGAGTGATAGTGGGGCAGAATGGCATTGTGCGGCAGGTGATGATGGTGAAGGCACTGACGCCAAGGGGGTGGGCGGCCGAAGTGGAGGGCCACGCCACTGGCGCCATGGCGCACTGCCTTCCCCTTGGTGCTGCCCATGCAAGGCTCTGGATGCCATGGCATGTCGTGCTGCGCCATGTGCAGCAGCCACATGCGGGGGGGAGTGCCACTGGTACTACTGGCGCGCGCGTGTGTGCGTCAGGGCGCTTCTCACCCGTTCCAGCGAGCCTTTGAGCGAGTACGTGTCGCCCTCCTTGTTCTCGCCGTACCAGTAGTACCGCCGCTCGCTCGCCACGTACAGCACGCCCCCGCCGTGCGCCTGGATGCGCCGCCCCTCCTCATCCAACCACACCCGCCCCGGCCACAGCCGCCCCCCTTCCCCCTGAAACGGACGCCCGCGCGGCCACAGCTGCCTCCGCCGCGCGCCCGCCTGCCATCCCTGCGATGCCTGCGCGACCTCGCCTTCCCCCTCCGATTGCCCCCGCCATGCCCGCCGCGCCCAGCTCACCGCTCCGCGTGCGGCAATGCCCGCGGCCAGTGGGGATGTGTGGAGGATGTCGGAATGAGTAGAGGCGGAGAGGCGCGGGGGGAAGAGAGGCGTGGGGGAGTGGAGCAGCAGGAGCGCGGAGAGCGAGAGCGCTACGAAGGAGAGGGCCGCGGCGAAAGTGCAGCGGCGCAGCGCGGAGTGGCGGTCGGGGAACGGGAGGCGCGTGCGGCGACGAGATGGAGGCATCGCGCGCAAGGTGGCGGGCGCAAGGTGGTGCGCGCAAGGGACGCGCGCACGGGCGCAAGGGACGGGCGCAAGGGACGGCGCAAGGGACGGGCGCAACGGAGAAGTGGTGCGGGGACAGAAGTGATGATCGCGAATTGTGTGACGACAGCGACTGACAGCGAGACGGCCAGCAGATTGAGATTCGCTGTGGCTGGACATGTGCTGGTTCGCCTGGCTTGACTGTGCTCTTTACAGGTAAACTCGATGTACTGGTAACAACAACCTGGCTTGTAATGTAGTCGTTGTAAAATCCGTCACATAGTTATCATTCCGTTCACTCCATGTTTGTCATTCACAAATTACTTATGATCGTTACTGCATACGAAACGAGTGAGCACATAACGAAGTGTGTAGAAAGTCCACTTCAGAGCAGCTGATAGTCGTCTTCCCCCTTACCCTCCGTGCGTGCCGTTCCTTCACTCGCCTCTCCCTGTCGCCTCTCCCTGTCTCGCCGCCACACTCGTCCCGCGCCACATGGAAGCACCCGGCATGCGCCGTGTGCTGCGCGCGGCGTGGGATCAACTCGCCCATGCCGCCGCGCCTCCGCGCACACGCACACAAGCGCAACCCGCGCGGATGTACCTTGTTCCGTGCCACACGCCTGCCGCGTTGCCGCGCGGCTCCGCACCGTCATCGTCACCGTCACCGTCACCATCATCACTCCCTGCTGCTCGCGCGTTGCTTGCATGGGGCGCTTGGCGGATCAGCGGCGAGGGGAGCGGGCAGGTGGAGGCGCGCGGGACAGTGGCGGGACGAGCAGTGGCGGGTGGCGGCAGCGCGGAGGGGTGCGGCGTGGGGCATGACGTGCGGTGGCGAGGCGTGCGGCAAGGCGGCGGCGACGAGGCGTGGGCGCGCAGCAGGCAGTGGAGAGTGGGGGGAGGGGCCGTGATGGACGCACACGTGTGGCCCGCGCAAGGCGTGCGATCGTCGCACACTGACGCCGTACTCACTCGCCCTCACCTACTCTTTCCCGCCTGACCTCTCCATTGCCTCGCTCCATCCGTCCGTCCGTCCGTCCGTCCGTCCGTCCGTCCGTCTGTCCATCCATCCATCCATCCATCCATCCATCCATCCATCCATCCATCCATCCATCCATCCATCCATCCATCCATCCACTCTCCTCCCGTTCGTCCACGCTTTTACTTTGCGTCATGTGACCTCTTTCTCCTCCCTCGCGCTGTCGCTCGCTGCCTCTGCTCATGTAGGTTGTGCAGTGCACGGCAGCCCGCACCTCAACGCTCCCCGCCCTCTACCTGTGTGTGCAGGCGCCCGCATCTCGCCCCTCCTCCTGGCTCCCTCCCCGCCTGCTCTCCGTGATCCCTGCACCGTGGCAGGAGCTGCTGGAACATCCACGCACCGCACTGCACCACATTGCATGGCAGTACAGGGATGCAGCAGGTATGAGTGCCATGGGCAGCAGCTCGCAAGCAAACCACTTGCTGCTGCCACTGTCCTTCTGTACCTTCCTCTGCCATGTGTTGTGCGCACTGCCCCTCGCATCCCCTGCACCGCCTTCACCTCGTGCCATGGCCACGTGCCCCTCTTCCCCCGCCCGCTTGAGCAGCATTGCAGGTGGAGGCGTTTTGGCGCAACCACTCGCTGCTGCTGCTGTCCGCTGGGGGCGTGTCCCTGTCGCTGCTGCTCTGGGGCTGCTCCTTCCGCCTCGCCTCGCTCTTCCTCACCATGCCGCCCAACTCCCTCGGCCTGCCCTACCTGCTTGCCTCCTGCACTGCCGTCGCTGCTCTGGTACGCCTCACCTCACTCCCTTGCTGCACCACCACCCCCACCATCCCCATCCACCACGCCCGTCCTTGCCTCTCCCACCTGTCCACATCCCTCGCAGTCCTCCGCACTCTCCCTTCCCCTCATTCTCCACTCTCCCGCCCCCCTCGTCCCCCCCTCCTCAAGCACAGGGCGGGGCAGTGCGGGCGCACACGAGCATGAGTCCAGCAGCGGCATACCGCATGGCCATGTGCGCCCTCAACACGCATGCGGGTGTGCTGGAAGTGCTGGGAGCACCGCTGCTGGGAGCGCCTGTGAGGGCGTACGTGCAGGGGGGCGGGGGCATAGTGCTGTCGGGCATGGCTGTGCGTGCTGCCCCGCGGGACTGCTGGCTGGTGTTCCCTGTGCGCGGTGCAGAGGGGCGTGGTGTGGTGCAAGTGCACGTGCACCGCCACAACGGGCAGGTCAGCTGCCGTGCCCTGCTAGCGCCATGCCCACACACCACATCAACCGCTGCCTACCCGTCATATCCGCCCCAATTCCACTTGTTGCTCATTGCCACGTAGCTCATGTGTGACTCACGCTGCTCATCCCCCATGCGCTTTCCTCTGTTCAACCTTGGCATCTGTGTGTGTGTGTGTGCAGTACGACCTGCGGCTGGTGGCGGTGGATGTGGCAGCCGGCAGTGCAGGCAGCGAGTGCGTGGTGGTGGTGGGCGACCATGCTGCTCTCTCCCGTGCACAGCCCTTGCTGCAAGGGCTCAGGCACGCACTGGACAATGCGCAAGGCGGGCGAGCAGGGGCAGAGACGAGGGCTGTGGAGAATGCCCAGCAAGAACAGGGCTGATGGAGTTGAGTTGAGCACACCGGTATGGTGGAAGTCGCAACAGCTCTAGCGCACCTGCTGCATGGAATGTCGTGTCATAATAGGTCATACGGTAATAGTACGGTAGCTTACTACCTACAAAACAAGACTCCTTGATGGGCCACATGAATTTGGTCGCTTATTTGCAGACACATGCCACTAATAGCGCATGGCCTGCATGAGCAGTGGTACATAGTGATCCAGATAGAAGAGGGCTCACAATTTGAGCACTCTGCAGCTACCCTGCCTTGCATTGCATTGCAACCTTCCAACTCTACCCTCCCACTGCAAGCGGGTGTACGCAGCACTGGCATTGCACACATGGCCGTGCAACAGTGCTGCATCCATGCATGCACTCTGCTGACCCCCCACAGCAGCAAGCACTGCGTGGTGCCCTATCCTCGGTCTGCACTCTGAAGCCGTACGTGCCCAGCTAGGCCATTTGTTCTTAGCAGGGATGCAGTGCCCTGCGCCTGCATATCGGGTGAAAGCAGAGCAGGTGCCATATGGTGGGAGAAGGATGCCATGTAGGCTATGTTCATGCATGTGACAGATGGGCAGGCGGAGTGGCAGACGAGGGTTACAGAGCAGGAAGGGGGAGAAACGGGGAACTGGTGAGGAAGGTGAATACGGATGGGAAGGAACAGGTCGCAGGAGTGAGGTGAGGGTGGGAGGTGGGCGTGTGGGGACAGGCGGTGCAGTGCCAGCAGCGCCAGCAGCACGTGGCCTACAGCCCATTGGGGTGAAGGGGGCCGGGTGGAGTGAGAGCTGGGGGGTGTGTGTGCGGGGCAGTGTGGGGATGGGGGTGCAGTGAGAGGTGCTGCATGCCGCCACTCATGTGGCACAGCAGCATGTCCATCAGCCCCTCGCTCTCCGCTGCCTGCTCCGCATCCACCTCCCCCGCCCCCACTCCGCCCCCGCCCGCCCCCCCTGTGTCCTCCAGCCCGTGCTTCCACCATGCATCCACCCCCCCATCGCCCACCACACCCGCCTCCACACCCGCATCTGTGGGAAAGAGGGCCGGCCACTCACACGCCCTCCCACCATCACACACATCCGCGCCCTCATACGTGCCATTTGCACCCCCGCAAGCGCCGCTGCCGTTGCCACTCCACACCACTCCGCCCTTGCCCCTCGTACCCTCTGCCTGCGCATCCGCGCCCTTCCTGCTCACACCCTCTCCTCCCACCACCCCGCCACTGTCTGCCACGTCAGACTCCTCCGCCTCCCACTTGCAAGCAGCAGAGCCATTGCCGTGCTCTTCTCCCGGGCCCCCATCATCCCTGAGGAACATGCCCACCTCCTCCCACTGCTCCTGCTTCACCACCGCCCCTCCCTGCCCCACTGCCCACTCGCCTCCACTCGTGCCCCCCGACACGCCCCCACCACCCATCCCCTGCCCCCCCTCCGCCTCTCCCCCACTGCCTGCGCCCTCGTGGTTCCCCTCGCCCCCACTGGGTGCAGGGCGCCCTGCAGCGGGCGCGTAGGAAGGTGCGGGGAAGCCAACCAGGTGCTCTGGGGTGAGCTGCAGGGGGGAAGGAAGTGGAGAGGAGGGGCAGGAGGGACATGGAAGAAGGGGGGTAGGAAGAGAAAGCGGGAGTGGGAAAGAGTGAACGCGAGGAGTATGCGTGTTGAGGAACGAGGAAGAGGGGCGGGGAAAAGGGGAGGAAGGGGAGGATTGTTTTATGGGGCGGGAGTCGATGTATGGCAACAAGGTATCTAGTGACCTGATTGGAATGAAAATTGTGCATGACATTGTCACGAGGACTGGTGCGATGACACGGCATGGTGTGAGGGGGGCTGGCAGCACCTGGAAGAGGTCAGCGTCGGGCAGCAGGTCATCCTCAGGCATGAGGTCGTACTCCATGGCTGACAGCTTGCTCGATAGCAGCTGCCACCCCATGCACGCACACAGGGCGGGCGGGGGAGATCGGACGGGATATGCAGGAAGTGTACATGATAGGTGTGGGCTGGCGTAATGGGGGTGAGGGACCACCTCATACATGTGTCACTGCTGCATGCATACTCAGTTGGTGCATGGAGGTAAAGGGGGGAGCAGGTGAAAGCAGGGCGCCAAGGTAGTGTGCAGTGGTGTGTGGTGCATGTGTCTCTCTCACCTCGACCTGCAGCTGCAGTGAGCGCACATAGTTGATGATCTCGTCCAGTATCATGGCCTTGCCCGTCACCTGCATGAGCACATGCACACGCCACCACACATGCACGCGCACCCGCACACGCACACACGCGCGCACGCACACATGCAAGCACACACACACACACACACACACACACACACACACACGCACGCACTCACACACGCACACAAAGATGAGTTAGCCCGAGTGTGGACGCCCTCTGCAGCCAATCGTTGCTTCACCTGGTGCAGCACAGCACGCCATATGCTCTGCACTCTCATCCCCACTTGCAGCCCTGCACTGAAACCTTAACCTGCAACCGACACCACACTCCCCCACCCCCCCTTCTCCCAGCTGCGCGCTCACCTTAGCGCACGTGGGCACAAGGCTCTGCAGCACACTCATGCGCTCCGATATCTTCTCCCTCCGCACCTGGTGCCACACGCTCTCACCCACACGGGAGGGGTGGCCCAGGCGGGCACACACAGGGCAACGAGGGCAGGGAGATGCAGGTGCAGGAGGGGTTCAGAGGGAACACACGAGGAGAGAATATGAAGACAGAACACGCGGCAGGGGTACCGTGTATGCATGCTGTGCATATTGGTCGCATAAGAAATCATCAGCACGCACGGCATGGCACAGCACGGCACGGCACAGCACAGCACGGCACGGCACAGCACAGCAGAGCAGGGCAAGGCAGTGCATGAGGGCATCTCACCCGCTCGGCAATGCTATGGCTGTCCGTGGCCTGCCCTCTCCTCGCTCGACCATGCCCCACTCCCGCTCCCCCACCCTTCCCCTCCCTGCCCCCCCCCCTCACCCCTTCTCTCCCACTGCTCCTTCCCTCCTCACCACTCCACGCCTCCTCTCCCCCCCAGCTACCCTGCCTTTCCATCCCCATCCCCATGCTCTGCTCTGCCCCAATGGCGCTCCCACACTCCCCGTCCTCCCCCTCGCTCTCCTGCTTGCACCACTGCCCCTGCCCGCCCCCACCACCAGCACTGCCGGCAGCAGCGGCGGCGGTGGCGGCGGTAGCGGGAGCAGCATGTGAGGCGGAGAAGGGGGCGGCAGCAGCAGAAAAGGTGGAGGTCGATGGCTGCACGTGGGGCATGGTGGGCGGGCGACGGGTGAGAGGTAGGGGGAGAGGCGTGAGGGGCGAGCAGTGAGGGAGGTGCATGTGCTGCTGAGCATCGCACCACCCGGGGCGCTGCCCTGGTGCCCGTGGGTGGGTGCTGCGTGTGGTAAGTGCGAGGAGTGCAAAGATTAGGAAAAACTGAGGGGATGCGCAGGCAGACATTCGATGGGAGCCGAGACAAATAGAGGCCGGTGCAAGAGAGGGAAACGCGAGGTGGTAATAAAGAGGTGAGGAAGTTGGGAGGGGTTCAGGGTTGAAGGGGGAGAGGGGGGATATGGGGAAGGGGAGAAAGGGGTGGGGATTGGAGCATGGGTGGGTGAGCCGGGTGAGCGGGTGCACACACCTGGGCATGCGGCCATGGCACGGTGCCGTGCGTGTCAGCCGGCAGTCGACGTCGCTTGCGACATGCCATGGCCTCGTCAGCACCCACTGCATGCCCCATACACACACACACACACACACACACACACACACACACGCACGCAGGCACGCACACACACACACACACACACGCACGCACACACACACACACACACACACATACGGCAGTGGTGGCGCGGTGGGGGGGGGAAGAGGAAGAGGAAGGAGGGTGAGACTGTGTGGAACATGTGCATGGGGGGCAGCAGTGCCATGGGGCAACAGGATTCTCTTGTGAATGGGGCAGAGTGTAGGCACATGCCTGTGGCGAAAGCGACTGGCTGTGCATCAGAGTGCTTCCACCCACAACAGGCCAGTGACAGTCTTGCTACCGTCAACAGCGTGCCTACCATCCACAGCCTGAGCGCGGTGCACCGAGGGCGGGCAGCTATTGGTGCGAGTCAGCTGCCTCACTCCCCTTCCCAGCAGTTTCCTCCGCGCCTGCTCCCTCTCCCTCTCCTCCCAATCTTTCCCCTCCTCCTCCACACTCAACCGCTCTCCCCCACTGCTCTGCCCTGCCGTCGCCTCCCCTACCCCCTCTGCTGCTGCCTCCCCTCCCCCCTCCCCGCTACCGTCCAATGCTTGCCACACCACGTTCCACGCCGCGCCCTCCACTCCCTCCGCTCTCCCCCTCTCCCTGCCCACACTCGAAGCCTTCAGCAGTCTGCGTCCCCCCCCACCTCTGCTTCCCCCTCCCCTCACAGCGCCTCTCATGTTACCGTCTACCCCCATCCCTGATTCTTCAACCGCCATCACCCCCTGCTGCGCGCCCGCTGCTCCCCCCTCCGATCCCCCCTGCGACTGCGCCTGCAGCTGCTGCTGCACCGCCCGCCAAATGCCCTCCATCTCCCCCGCCAGTGCCCCACCCTCAACCCCCCCGCTAACGGCTTTCCCCCCTGCTCTGCCCTGCCCCACCGCCCGCCTACCCGCGCCCATCCCCGCGCCCCCCTGCTCGAGCGCGGCGGCAATGGAGCTCGCTGCTGCCGCCACTGCCGCCGCTGCCTCCGCCACTGCGCTCTCGTGCGCCCCCCGCTCCCGCGCCCCCGCCCTTTCCCCACCCGCTTCCCAAGACGAGCACAATTGTTGGGGGGGATGAGGGGGGAGGTTGGGAGGATGGGGGAGTGGCGGAGGGGTCGGCGCGGAGGGTAAGGCGAGCGGGGAGAGGAGCGAGGCGGTCAAGGAGGAGGTGCGGCGGGGGGCGAGGGAGGAGAGTGGGGAGGGCGCGGGGGGGCGACCGCGGCATAGGCGCGAGAGGAAAGGCGAGTCGGCGAGAGGGTTGCCTGGCGCGAGGAGAGGGGAAGGGGGAGGTGTGAGGACAGGGGGTGGGAGAGCAGGGAGGACAAATTAGGAGGCGGCAGCGTGGTGCACACGGCATTGCGTGCACACGCGCGCATGCGCAGACGTGGCTCGTGATAGGCAAGGGAGCGCAAATGAGAGCACACCAGAGCACAGAATCGCACGACGTACCTCGGCTGGAGCTTGCACTTGCGCCTTTGTCCCTGCACGCCTTGCTCGCCTCGCCATTACCGCCCGCCTCTCCCCCAACCCCTACGCCATGCGCCGCTGCCAGCGCCGCGGCGGTTCCAGTCGTGGTCCATCCCAAGCCCTGCACGCCCGCGCCATTCCCGCCGCCGCCCTCCGCTCCCCTTATCGTCACCACCTGCGCGCGCTCCACGTCCAGGCTCCGCGTGCGCCTCAGCTCCGCGCTGCTCTCTCCGCCACCCGCCAGCCGCGCCTGCCGCCGCGCGTACAGCGAAGATTGCGCCTGCCGCGTGCTTACCGCGGACCCGGCGACTGGCGGAGCGCAATGCGATGCGCCGGGCGACGAGACCGCGGGTGCTGGTTGCGGCAAGTGCGGCGCAGCTGCGCTGCTCGGCGCGCAGTCGAAATCCATAGCGCCCGCGCCATTGGCGGACTGCGAATCCGCCTCGGCGGCGGGATTAGCGGCGCCCATGGCGGTTGAGTGAGCGCCTCGCAGCAGCTCCTGAAACTCGCCGCGGCGTCTCAATCTCCTCGCGCCTCCGCTGTCGCTCAGCCTCCCCCTTTCTTCCCTCCCGCTCCCTTTTTCCTGCTTCCGCGCCTTGGTGTGGCTGCTTGATGGATGCCGCAAGCGCGGAAGCGGAGCGCAATGCGCGCACGCGCTGTGTGAAGTGACGGGTTCTTGCTCAAGGCGCGACAATAGCTGTCAATTGGCAGTGATGTGGCATGGGTGACACTAGCGAGTGGAAAAAGCAGATACAGTACTGGCTAGACAACTCGCACATATGTTGAGTGAACACCCATGGATTCCCTCGTCTGGTCAGGTGTGGTCTGTCGTGTGAGGAACAAGGAGAGAAGAGAACATGGTTGTCGCACAGGCCGAGCAGTGTGCGAGCCACCCCCTCTTGCTCCCCCCAACCAACCCACCCACCCACCCCACCTACCACCCGCCCTGGCCCCCTCCAACCAACCACACGCCGCCGTTACCGCCCTCACCTTGCCTCACTGCCCGCGACAGCACACACTTGCACACGAGACCAGCTCCGCGTCCGCGATCTACAAAATGCTGGGTGGACAAATTCGATAAACGCTGTACTGATTTCATCAGAAAGGTGTTACCTTTATTGGTGTGCTTATCTGTGCTGTGAGTGTATGATTTCTTAAGACTCTCTCCTTGTAACGTGGCAAGGTGTACACGTATATGGAACAAGTTTTAATGCAATCACATTTGTTATACGGGCTTCTAACTAGCCCAAACACCAGTCACACAATTCGTGTGGTCTTCTTTTAGGTCATTGCTCGCGTCAGATTGCCGACTGACAGTCTGGTCTGGACCGTATTACAGTAGTCATACTCCGTGCTCACAACCAGCGGCTTGCAATCTGAGCCGCCGGCTCTACGAGGTAGATCGAGCACGCGTGCGGGCGGCCAAATGGTGCTCGCCGGGATTTAGGAGGCCCGAGCAGCTCTTCGGAAGTGCACCGCGCGTGTCGTCGGTGTCGGGTGCGCGTGGTGGTTAGCAGCGCGTGCGTGCTAACAGTGCGAAGCTTGCAGCATCTGCCCGCGGTAAGCCGACCAACGGTCATCAAAGCTGCGCCCATTGGCGGCAATTGCTTACACGTAGGGCACGCACAGGACCCTGGTATCGTGGTGCGTGGGGAGTGAAGTGGCGCAAATCAGCGGCGCGACATGCCCTAGTGCCCGCAGTGCGTCGCCCCGGCTAGCGGTCGGCTTAGGGTGTCACCGCTACCAGTGCCCTTGCGTTACCAATTAATCACCGCTGCGTCGTGTGTCACCGCGCGCCGTCTCACCCGCCGTTAAAAATGCGTGGGTGCGTGTGACAGCAGCACAGGGTGGCCGTGGCATGGCCGTCATTCGCGGTCACGCCATTGGATCTCGCCACCACGGACCCCCCCTCACTATCACCCCCACTCGCCTCGCACTCTCCCCTCACTCCGCCCAGATATATACGCGCCCTCCCTGCACTTCTTCCCTCCCCGCCCCATCCTCGTCGCGCAGTGTTGTTTTCAGCATGGCGCAGGACACCCCTAGCGGGGCTCCTAGCGGGGCTGGCGAGGAGCAAGGCGACCGCGCGGGGGAGGGGAAGGGCACGCACGCGCGGATGGGCGCGGACGGGTGCTTCGTGCTGCGCACGGGCGCGTCGATGCCCGCCATCGGGCTGGGCACGTGGCTGGAGGGCGACGGCGGCGAGCAGACGCAGGAGGCGGTGCGCGTGGCGCTGCAGTGCGGGTACCGCAGCATCGACTGCGCGCACCTGTACGGCACGGAGATGGCGGTGGGGCGCGCGCTGGCGGAGGCGTTCAGCGCGGGCGTGTGCACGCGGGACGACGTGTTCCTGGCGTCCAAGGTCTGGTGCACCACCTCCAACGCCAGCCGCGTCCTCCAGGTACGCCGCCCCCCCCCACCCCCACCCACGCTGCTGCCTGCCGCACACGCGTCACACGCGCGCCCCGACCGAGCTATACGCAACTTTATCTCCTTCCCTTGCCTCATTCTTCTTCCTAACACTCTCCTCCTACCCATCCCTCCCTGCACCCCCTTCCTCCCTCTTCCCCTCCCCTTCCCCTCGGCCCCCTCTCCCTCCCGGGGCAGGCGTGCGAGCGGGCGTTGAAGAACCTGTGCGTGGCGCAGCTGGACCTGTTCCTGCTCTCCTGGCCGCTCGCCTCGCCGCTCAACCGCACGCCCGCCGACGCCACGGACCCGCCCGTGTCGTCCCCACGGCGCGGGCAGGTGTCGCTGAACGTGGCGGAGCTGTGGGCGGGCATGGAGCAGCTGGTGGCTAGCGGGCGCGTGAAGGCCATCGGCGTGGCCAACTTCAGCGCGCCCATGGTGCTGGACCTGCTGCAGCATGCCCACGTGCAACCCGCCGTCGTGCAGGTGCGCTGCTCTCACCCCTTGCCTGTGCCGCATGGCAGTATGAGATGTGAAGCGCACTCATTCAGGTGCATGCGGTACGATACCCGCTAGGCGGTATCATGATCAGCGGGTAGCAGTGGCACTGTGCGAGGTATTGCAGCGCAGATGAGGTGGGTGTGCCCGCTGCTTCACATCCACAGCAACTCTCAAATCTATCTGCCTGCGCCTGTGTGTGGTTCTGTGCGCCCTGGTGTGTCTGGCAGGTGGAGATCCATCCACTGTGGCGGCAGGAGCAGCTGCTGTCAGTGTGCCATGCGAATGGCATCCACGTGTCCGCACACACGCCACTGGGCACACCGGGGGTGGCACCGCTGGCACTGTCGTCACAGGAGCAGGCGGAGATGAACCTCTGGAGTGTGCCCGCCCCCGCTGGCAAGGGGCGCTCGCGCACCGTGCATGGGCCCATGCTGCGCCACTATGCCGTGCAGGACGTGGCTCAGCAGCATGGCAAGACACCCGCCCAGGTATGCCATGCCATGCCATGCCATGCCGTGTCTCTAGCAGCACAATGCACATACATGCGTAGTATGATGCGGGTTGTGAATTGGTCCCATCAAGCAGCCACCAAGCAATGCTAACATCACGTGAAAGTGTACGTAGGGGCGCACTGTCACACTGCATGCTGACCTGCACCACTTACCCACTCCCTTCCCACACCACTCCACACATGCACTTCCAGGTGATCCTGCGGTGGGCGCTGCAGCGTGGCACGAGTGTGCTGCCGGTGAGTGTGAGGGAGCAGCGCATCCGCTCCAACTACGACCTGCTCCACTGGTCGCTCACAGACGAGGAGTGGGATCGCATCAGTGCCATCGAGCCGCAGATCCCGCTGCTTGGTCCCTGCCTCGCCCCCGTCTCGTCGCTGCCCAACAGCACCAGCACCAGTGGCCGCCCTGAGACGTTCCAAGAAGAGGAGGAGGAGGTGGCTGGGGAGGAGGGCGATAAGGGCAAGGAGGGCCAGGGTTAATGGGTCGAAGGTTAGGGGGGTAACGGGTAATGGGTAGATGTAGAGGGGGCAGGTGTGGGGGGGAAAGGCGTGAGGGAGGAGGGAGAGGGGGAGGTGCAGAGAACAGGAGTCGAGGGAGTAGGTGCTGGCATGGGAGGCGTTGAAATGAGTTATGGTGAGATCAGGTCTTAGGAAAGGGCATCGGTGGACCATCAGTAGCAGTAAATTAGCACTGAGTTTTGGATGCTTGTTTATTGTGCTAGGTTACTGTAGCATACCAGCATTGTCAGATGGTAATGCTGCAAATTCCATGTCTGCTTCTAGCCTTGTCCAATTTCCTGCTATCAATACTCTATTGGGAAGAAAGCGAGTTTTTCTGCTGCCGAGAATACACTTCCTGGAAATGCAGGTGTGGTACAGTACAGTATTACGTCTTCAAGTACTACGCTAGTGTTATGTACATCTCCGCTTATTAAGCACCCAGCTCCTCCAAGCTACCAAAGGGTGCTTCAACTTTCAGGGTGTTTTGCAGCTGCCATGAGAAATGGCAGCTACACAAAACGTTGTGCCTAACGATTATTTCCTGCATAACCACAGACCTGCACTGGCCAGTTCTCTGCAGTGCCTACCACCCCCGCCACTTCGATATTCCACCACTCAATGCTCGCTCCTTCCACCAACCCAGCGTCTGCTGCTGCTGCTGCTGCTGCTACTGCTACTGCTACCTGCACGGCTCAAACTAGGTGTGCTCCTCACCAATACGCCATGGAGCTTCTCCTTCTCCCTCCCATTCGCCGCCATGCCTCTGCCCCTCATGCTGCTGCTGCTGGTTCCCCTGGTGGTGCTGCTGCTGATGCTGGTGATGGTGGTGGTGGTGGTGGTGCAGCTGGTGGGGGTGGTGGGGCAGGTTGTGGCCCATCTTGTGAGGCCACGCCACATCATCTTCCGCCAGGCACTCCCCCTCAACCGCGTCCCCTTCCTCCTCCAACCGCCCTCTCCCCTCCCTCCTCTCCTCGCCTATCTCATCTGCAAACCGCACGAAGCTCGTCCGCCGACTCCCCCGCCCCAACCCATCTCCCTCCTCCCCCTCGCCCTCCCTCACCTCCCCTTCCTCCTCCCTCCCCACCGCTGCCCTCGCATCCAGCCGTTCAAACATGCTGCCCCCGCCGCCCCCCTGCAGCAGCATGCGAGCAGCAGCACCCGCCAGCCCGCTGCTACTCCGGGGGAGCGAGAAGGACGAGGAGCGAGCGGCAGGCGGCACGTACCCACGACCACCAAACAGCGGGCGCATATACGTGTCGTCTAACCATCGCCACAGGTCATGCAGGTCGCGCTCGTGGGCGCTGAGGATGCGCGAGGCGAGGCGGGCATCGGGCATGGGGAGACCCGCCATGGAGGATGCGGGTAAACACACCACCATGTCGCCCTCCACGTGCCCCGCCGCCCCATGCGGGTACAGCAGCCGCGGCCGCGGGGGCGTGGCGCGCACCGGGGCAGAGGGCACGGCCGGTGCGGCGTCGGGGGCAGAGGGTGCGACGGGCAAAGAGGGCGCAGAGGACACGGAGGTGACGGGTGTGGAGGAAGAGAAGGGGCGCGAGCGAGAGGGGGGGAGGGAGGGCGAGGCAGCGAGGAAGAGAGTGGTAGAGGCTGGAGAGATGGGATGTGGGGGAAGGTACTTGGGTGAGGAGGGGCCCTCGCTGTAGTTGCTGGCACTGTGGTGGAGAGTGAAGGGCAGGAAGTAGTCGATGAGTGGACTCGTGAGCAGCCCAAACACCTGCCCAGGCCACACACGGAAGGAAGGGGGGGGTGGGGGTGTGGTTGGGGGTGCGGCTGTGGGGGTGGGTGGGCTGGGGGAGGAGGGAAGTGTTGTGCAGCTGAGGACCTGTGGTGAGAGGCGGGCATGGTGAATTGAGAGACAATGGGGGTAGAAGCAGTGCGTTCCAATGAGCAATGCCCGCAGTGCAGTGAGTGAGGTGCAGCAGTGAGCTATGCGGGAAGGTGCAGAATCACTCACGAGAGTAGAGAAGAGAACGAGCGCTATGGTGGAGGCGATTAGCATGGCTGCCGTGGCCTCTCCCTCCTCTGAAAACTGCACATGCTCACAGGCACATATTCAACCATGCACACATGCACACAACACCACAGGAAACAGCACGAGCATGCTGTGATGTGCAACTGACGAAAAAGAGGAGCTGAGGAAGGATTGGGAAGTGAGTGGAGAGCAACAGGGCGACGAGCAAAGGCAGGAGCAGGTGGGGGTGGGCCGTACAGCAGAGTACGTGAGGGCGATGGAGACAGCCCCCCTCATGAGACCACCTGCATGGCATGGGATGGCATGGCGTGGCATGGCATGGCATGGCATGGCATGGCATGGCATGGCATGGCATGGCATGGCATGGCATGGCATGGCATGGCATGGCATGGCATGGAGCATGGATGGCATGGAATAAAAGGGCAGGGCAGGGCAGGTAAGTGAAGGGCAGAGCAGCAGCACATGTTAACTGTGAAGGACAGGAGATGACAAGGCAAGGACAAGCACATGCGCTCATGGCACACGCACACATGCCCGTGTGCCCCCTTCTTGGCAGCATGCTGCACTGCACCATGCTAGTGCGTGCAGAGACAGCTAGGGCAACAGCCACAGCACCAGCACGCGTGCCTGCCATTTGCTCTCTCTCCTTCCCTCCCCACCCAGTCACACCCCACAACCCTCCACTCTCGTCCTCCCCAACCCTGCCCCCTATCACACCTCTGTATGTACCACACCCAACCCTCCGCCCCCAACAACGCACTACCTCCTCTCTGGCCAAGCACGTTACCCCCCTACCCCAACCCCCCATCTTCCCCCGCGCCTCCCCAGGGCGCGCACCTGATGGGGGGTGCGCAGAGCGCGTGAGTTTTTGCGCTGCAGGTTGAGCAGGGCGGAGAGCGGGAACACAAACGCTGCCCGCCCCGCCAGCACCAGCCCCAGCAGCAGCGTGAACAGCACAAACGTGTCCCTGCCAGCCCCGCGCATGGGGAGGGGCGCACAGGGGAATGGCGGGGGGGCGGGAAACATGAGGAGAAAAGTGTTGGGTGGAAGCGCGGGTAAAAGGAGGTGAGGGCGGAGCATTGGCACGGGGTGGTGGAGGGGAGGGGGGCAGATTGGGGAGAGAAGCGTAGGAAAGACGTGGAGCGGGTGATGGGACGAGCTGGTGGAGGCACGGCACACCTGACGTTGACGCTGGTCCACTTCTCCGAGTCCAGGGCGTCCATGCCCACGTACATGAAGATCACCGTCTCCGCTATGAACGACATCGTTGCAAACGCATGCCTGCACAATCCGGTCGTGTGGGGTGCACATGCACATGTGTGGGGCGAGGGAGGAGCACAAGGGGCGTGCAGAGACCACAGCCATGTGACCATGCACTCATGCATGCTGTCTGCACGTGACACACAGAGAAGGTGTGACGTGCAGTTCTGCTGTGTTGCCACCCCCCTTCTGTTCCACAGAGTATCACAGCCATGTGACCATGCACTCATGCATGCTGCAGTCACACCACCTTCCCAGTGCAGCACTACTCCCTCAGCCCGCTTCTTCCCTCCTCCCCAGAATCGCTAGCGTACTTGGTGGTGACGCGGGAGCTCTCAGTGACGTTGTGCCAGGTGTAGTGGCTCATGACGATGCCCGCGAAGAACACGGACAGGATGCCGCTCAGCCGCAGCACCTCCGCCAGGATGTACGACGCGTATGCCATCAGCGCCATCAGCGCTATCTCCCGGTCCGTCGCATGACTGCCCGTGCCACAGGGCACCGGGGAGGGGAGCGGGGGGTTTGGGCATGGGGAGATGTGCGGGGATGGGAAGTGGAGGGGAGGAGTGGGGTGCTGAGTGGCTGAGATGATTGGTGTGGTGAGGATGGAAAGAGTGAGGCACGCGAGGAGATATCTGCAGTGATGCGATTAGTGGCTGGTGGCGCAGGAAACTACACACTGGCATGCGGGGAGGAGCGCCGTGGCGGAGATTACCTGGAGAAGTAGAGCGTCTTCATGACGTATGCAGACAGCAGTCCTAGCTGCACGCACACGCACACACAAAGCAAGGCGGATAGACAGATACAGGCAGACAGGCGGGTGGGAAGAAGAGCAGAAGAGGGGAGTGTGAGAGAGGCATGGTGGCAGCAGCAGCAACCGCATTCCTACCCCAGTGCGTGCAAGAACCTCTCAACCACCAACGCCAGCTCATCCCTCCTTCCGCAATCTCTCCTTCCAGGAGTGAGTCCCTCGTTGCACAAGCACATCCCAGGCAGGGCAGGGAGGGCAGGGAGCACTCACCGCAACGCCAAGCAGCGTAGAGGCGGTGAAGAGGTAGAGGAAGTCAGAGAGCACGTTGAGCAGCGTGGCGAGGGAGAGCGCGTGCGCGGCGGGCGAGAGGGCGAGCTGCTGCACGGCGCGGAAGAGCACAATGGACGTGGCGTCGTTCACCACTCCCTCGCCGAACACCAGACTGTACACCAACGGCTGCTCCTCCTGGTCCAACACCTGTGAGCGTGCGCGCAGGGTATAGAGTATAGCGCGCATGCGCGCAGGGAGCAGGGGGTACGGGAGTGGAGGGCACTCAGGAGGGCACTCAGGAGGGCACTCAGGGGGGCACTCAGGGGGGCACTCAGGGGGGCACTCAGGGGGGCACTCAGGGGGGCACTCAGGGGGGCACTCAGGGGGGCACTCAGGGGGGCAATCGAGGAAGGGAAGGGAGGAAGGAGCATTGCATCCTGCTGGTGCAGGTGGGCACGTTATGCCCTCACACACCAAACCTTGCCCCCAGCTTTGCCCATCTCCAGAGAACACACCCTCATGGGCTCTTCCAACCCCACTCTCCCCCGACTCTCCCCCCAACTCCATTATCCCCCCACTCAAAGCTCACCTGCAGCACGGAGACAGAGTCAGTGGCGGAGAAGATCACTCCCAGCGCTGCACGCAGAGGGTGGGGGGGCAGGGGGAAGGGGAACGGCAGAGGAGGTTGGGGGGAAGGGGGAGAGGCGAGAGGGGAGGGGGGGTGGGTGAGGAGAGTCCCGAAGCAGTGACGCTGGGCTGGTGTGGTGAGTGCAGTCATTGCAATGCTGCCATGTGAAGCATGCGATGGCAGTGACTACGAGACACGTGGCACAGACGAAGGTACACGTGGCACTGACCAAGGTACACGTGGCACTGACCAAGGTATATGTGGCTGGGTTGAATAGGCAGGCCGAAGAGAGGGAAGAGGAAGTTGCAACCTGGAATACAGAATGAGTGAGCAGCGAAAAAAAGAGATACAGGGAGGCAAGAGAGGTAGGAGTTGAAGGAGAAGGGGAGGGGTGGAAGCAGGGACAAAGGAGAGCATGAGGGGGAGATGACAAGCGCGAGCCATGAAGAATCGGCAGGTGCGCAGCATGCACTGGCAGAGAGCAGTTGAAGGGACGATGGGCTGTGGGGAGTGGCATGACAAAAAGCATTAGCGCACTGTGGCAAGCCAAGGGGAGAGCATGCATTGCGGGTGAGGAGGCGCAGAGCGAGGGGCAGTGCAGAGCGCATGGCGACCTGCAGTGATGACGGAGACGGAGATGAAGACGCCAGCTATGCCGTACGCCATGATGCCCCCGAAGTTGCGGAAAAACTGCTTCTTCTTCACCTGAAACCTGCCTTCCCCCGCCCGTGCACCGCCCCCGCCCGCCCCCCCACGCGGACATATGGAACGACGCAGGAAGAGGGGGGGGAGGGGGGAGGGGGGAGGGGGGGAGGGAGGCGGGAGAGGGAGGGGAAGGGGGAAGAAAGGGAGAGTGTGAGAGGCGACGAGGGGTGTGGGACAGCGGAGTGAGAGGCAGCGATGGCTGTGGTGCAGGGCAGGGCAGCAGGGCGGCAACCAGATTTCCTCCGCACTTCCCCCTCTCACTGCACACCCACGCCTGCACCCTGCTGCCTCTCATGCCCTGTTCAGGGAGACCCCATTACGAGCTACCACGCGGCATGGGGGAATGGGCGCGCGCGTTACCCGGCGTTGAAGATGATGGGAGGCAGCAGGTAGATGAAGAACAGGTCCTCGTCGAACCGCAGAATCATCGAACTCGCGCCGCCCCGCACGAACAACACCACCGCGCCCGACGCCAGGCCCTGGCGCGGATGGATATGGGAGGGGGAAGCAGGGGGGGACGATGCGCAACGCGGAGACGACTGGATGCTCGTGACGAAGCGTAAAGGGCGACGTCGCGAAAGTGGGCGAAACGAGCGAAAGGAGCGAAAGGGGCGAAACGAGCGAAAGGCGCAAAAGGGGCGAAACGAGCGAAAGGCGCGAAAGGGGCGAAACGAGCGAAAGGCGCGAAAGTGGCGAACGGAGGCATTGAAACGGAGCAGGGAGACGAGGGAAAGGGAGAGGCGGGGATGCATTGCGCGCACTGTGGTTGCGCGGACCGGGAGGGAGGTGGGCACTGACGAAGAGGATGGCGGTGACGGCGTCGTTGATCCACCGCACGCCCTCCAGCACGTGCCCCACCACGATGCACGCGCACAGCAGCCCCACGAACAGCGTCAGCGCCGCCACGTCCGTGCCGCCCCCCGCCAGCACCGACACCAGGCTCACCACCGGGACGCCGCTGTGCGACGCGGCGGCCGCTGCGCCCGCATGGCTGGACCCTCCCCCCAGCGCTGCAGCCGCTAAAGGTTGGGCGGGGAAGGACATGGGGTAGGAGACGTGCTCCATGAGCGCCGGCAGGATGGCGTGCGCGACGGGCGCATGGGGCATGGACGACCGCGACGACGGCGGGCGCGACGGAGTGGAGCGAGAGAGCAGCGAGCGAGTAGCCGGCGTGGGATGAACGGCTCACGAGAAACTTCTCAGCTGACGGGCTAGGAACGTTTCAGGCTGTCTAACAAGGGCAGGCACGCTACGTACTAAGCGTCTAATAATGACTTGCAGCTGAGCGTTGGTCAAGGACAATGTTGGTGAACTGCAATACAACAGCATGGCATGGCATGGCGTATGGATAGCACGAGTTGTTGGACGGCGGCGTCATGCAGCCTATCGTCGCAATGGTTAGCTTCAAGTTTCGTTAATGTTCGCAATTGCTCGTCATCCTATCCGTATCCCCCTTTTCTAATTACGACTATGGGCGACATCCCGAGTCAACAAGCTGGTTTCTGGCCAATGGGTGGTTCATCCAGGAAACAGGGTTAGGAGGGACGAATCAGGTGCTTGGTGAATGCACCCGAACCGGAATGGGTGCTCCAATCAACTGGAAAGGCACACAATTGTCTGCATTCTACAGCTGGAGAGCAGGTATTACTATACAAACAACACACAAAATTACAATTATTTACATGCCCAAGCTAACACAGAGAATGGATACGGTACTTGGACCAAATGGCAAGGCCAGACATCCAAAATTGCCATAAAAACGAACCCTAATTCTCCATGCTCTCACTCTTCCCCTCCTCCACATCCATGGGTGCAAGCCCACTATGCTCTTCCGGATTCGAGTGTGGCACACGTGCAGCTTCCTCAGCAGCCGCCTGGGCATGCACCCCTGTACCTGCCATGCTGCCGTGCACACCCACGCTGGGCTGCACTGGGATCACATCTGCAGGCCCCACACTCAACGCCCCTCCGGTGCGCGCCATGCCTCCCGCAATGCGCATGCGCGAACCACCAGGGGGGATGCCGTGGGGTGCAGCTGACATGCCATGGAATGCACATGCTGGTGCTGCCACCAAGGCAGGTGGCGCGGCGGCAGCAGCGGGTGGGGCAGAAGAAGGAGGCAGGGCGGTGGGTGCTACGGAGGGAAGCTGCATGGCGAAGGGGTTGGTGGCAGCAGCAAGGGGATAGAGGCTGCTGCTGTGAGCGGAGTGGGGAATCGTGGGCTCAGCAGGGGTGAGCTGGGTGCCTGCAGCCACACGCTGTGCGCAGTATGCAGGGGCAGTCGCAGGGGAAGGACCCTCAACGTGAGTGGGAGGCAGCACACTGCCCTTCACATCCTCTCCCCCTCCTTGCTTGCCTTTCTCCTCTGTTTCCCCCTCCTGCTCAACAACAGAGCCGCCACCACCTTCGGTCTCACCCCCACCTGCAGCCTTCTCTGCCTTCCCACCACCCTGCTTCACCTCAACGCCCTCCTGCACTCTCTCCCCCTCTCCCCGAACACCACTCACCATCCCTTCCGATTCCACACCTCCTTGCCCCTCCCCCTCCTTGCCGCCTGTCCTGCCTTCACCATCACCATCGCCTGATTTGCCAGCAGAACCACCCGCAGCAGCAGCATCAGTCGTTGCTGTCTGTTTCGCCTCCCCACCTTGCGCGCTCTTGTCCGCGTTCACCACTCCACTCGCCTGCACACTGCCTTCATGCGTCGCCGTCCCTCCCTGCCCTTGCTCACCGCCCGCCGTCCCTCCACCTTCCGGCGCCGGCGCTCCTCCTTCGCGCTTCCCCTTGTCCGTCGCAGGGGCGCGCGACTCGTCTCTTTCATCTTGCGACTCGCGGCGGCGTTGCACTGACGCCATGGCGCGCGACTCTCTAGTCGGAAAACTCAGCAGCTCGCTGTGCTCTCCAGGAATAAACACAGGAAGAAGCAACAGGTTCGATTGATCCACGGAAACGCGCTTCACAATTGTGCCCCTTGCCTCTGGGAAGCCAATTGCCCCTCAACGTTGGTTGGAACATTTTGGATGTGAGATTTTTCCGAGGCGCGTGATCAAAAGCGTAATTCCAAAGTGAGCACCACGCAGCACGCATGCATGGCCCCACTGCCCAGCTCCCCACTGCCACGTGCCCTTCTTCATGCCCTCGTGGTCCCTCCGAAAGAGGGCTTGAGCTCGTCGTTCAGTCAACTCAAGTGGGGCGAGAATCCGCCTCTGCGGCTCCGGTCTCGTCGCATGATGGCACAGCCACAGCGACAGCAGCTCGTTGGAAGTGATGATGGATGCTTGTTCGTGCTTCGCTGCGCTGACGCTTACCAGGGGTACTGCACTGCACTGCAGCTACTCTGCACTCTCGTCTCCTGTTTACAGATTCATGAGAGCTCCGGGGCCATATCGCGCCTGATTCTGCCCTCCGCACCGATACGAACCGATCATGGCAGAGCGTCAGCAGGAACGCGCGTCGCCGTCACAACCGCAACAGCAGCAGAGCCAACCAGGAGCGCCCATGGCGACGGACGTGCAAACGGAGGTAAGGCATCGCAAGCACGCCGCGCGGGAGTATCCGGGACGTGCTGCCATGCGCTGCTCAAATCGCACGCCCGTTTGCTTCGGCTGTCTTGCCATTTGGAAGCACGGCTCATTTGTTCTTCTTGCCGCCTTGCTAATTTGACATCTGATCGCTATTCATCTCGCTCTTCTCTAACCCACCGCGTGCGCTTCCGCTGCAGGCGCGCGCAGCATCAGTCGAGGCGGTGCAGGCGGCGCAGGAGGCGGAAGAGGCGAGCAAGCGCGCGTACGTGAAGCAGGCGCAAGCGCAGGAGAAGATGCAGGTGGCGGCGCAGGTAGCGGCGCAGCAGCAGCAGGCGGCGCGGCAGGCGGCGAGCATGGCGGCGAGCGAGGCAGCGCGCGCTGTGAGGGAGGACGAGCGCGCAGCGGGGCGGCAGCAGTGTTGGAAGGAAACGGTGGTGGGGCGGTGGTATGCCCCCAACCCACCGAGGGCACTTCGGTGCCTTCGATCCCTTTGACTAGGGATCGGTGGGGTGGCACCGATTGACTTCGGGAGACTAACCCTTCGGTGCCACGTGGCGGCACCACATTCCAACCTTCAAGTGCAAGGCGAATTCGGTGTGTTCGGTGTGAAATTCGGTGGTCGAATTTCACCCCAACCGAAATGTTACACGCGGCGCATTCGCGACGCGAGTGTAGCGATGTGATGTTACATGTGCGGTTCGATGTAATGCATTTGCTATAAATCGACCTGCCTTGTATGCATGCTTTATACTGAAATCCTGAATCTTCTTGTACATGGTCCATTCGAACCAAAATTCCAGAGAGGTCTATCCTTGCTTCTAAGAGCACTAGCAATCACGTGAACGCCAATATCTCGGCGTATACTTGGGCGATTAACGTGTTTGACGGCTTGTTGGAAAGTCAAGACTGTGCTCTATCGTTTAGTGCAACTTAGAGTTCCTGCAAAGTAGAGGAGACGCCTCTACAACAGTGGTATCAGAGCTGGTCGGTAGAGTCTACGTGCGCGACTTGTAGCAAGCATGATGACGTCAAGCGAAACCTCCGGCACTTCCTTAGGTGGTGTCGTCTCGAATCCCGGCGAACCCTGGACAAACGCGACGGTGTTCGACACGTCGGCGGTTCCGATTTTCACGGGACAAAACTACTCCGCGTGGAAATTTAAGTTCCAAGTGCTCATGATGGAGCGGGGACTTTGGGGTCTCTTCGACGGAACGGAGAAAAAGCCGGTCAACGAGGACGAGATCGCGGCATGGAAGAAGAAGGACCAAAAGGCGTTCGCAACGTTGATTTCGCGCATCGGCATCAACCTCGTGAGTTCGGTGCGCACGTGCATCAAGCTCGAAGCTTCGGCGCGTGAAGCATGGAAGCGGCTCGAGACGATGCACGTGAACAAGACTCTCCACGGCAAGATCCTAGCCCGAAATGCGTTCTACACGGTGAAGTTGCGCGCGGGCGAATCGATGCACGAGTATGCGACTCGTGTGGAGGAACTCGGGGAAACGTTCATGGACCTCGGTGGAACGGTCACGGAGGAGGATTGGATTCTCACCTTGCTTTGCGGCCTTCCGGAAGAGTGGTCGACGGTGATTACGACACTCGATAGCGTGCAAAACACTTGGACGAAGGAAATGGTGGTCGGTCGGCTTCTCCATGAAGAATCGCGACGCCGACAATTCGCTAACGAGAGCGTGGAGACCGCCATGTTCTCCGGAGGGAGCTCCGGAAAGAAGTCCAAGTGGAGCAACGGTGAGGCAAAGAAGTCGTCCGGTGGAAACGGTCGCGGCAAGGGCAACGCATCGAACGGTTCGAGCAAGTGTCATTATTGTCGCAAAGCGGGGCACTTTTGGCGTGAATGTCGGAAGCGGCCGAGCGATTGGATTCCATCGAAGGCGCGGAACCAAGAGGGCAACGCGCACACGGCATCCGGCGAGGCGGATGATTCAACGGAGTCGCTCGTTTTGTTGGCCGGTGACGGGATCAACACTTCAAACGACGCGTGGTTCCTCGACACCGGTGCAACACAACACATGACGCACTCGGCGTCGCTCCTCAACAACGTCGGTGCTCCGGGAGACGTCAAGCGCGTCGTCTTCGGGAACGATAAATCGCTACCGGTGGTTGGAGTTGGGAGTACGCGTCTCATCGTCGATGGCGGGCCGGTGGACATCACGAACGTGCTTCACGTCCCGGGATTGAAGGTGAATCTACTCTCCGTCACTCAACTCGCAAAGAAAGACGTGAAGGTCACCATCGATGGCGCGAAGATGAACCTCTTTTGGAAGGGGAAGCAATTCGCGCAAGGCGTTCTCAACGGACAACTCTACCAACTCAAGACGCATCCGACAACGGCCTCATCCAACGTGGCGCAAGGCTCCAAGGCGACTCTCAAAATGTGGCATAATCGGCTTGCGCACGCCAACTACGACTCGGTCAAAGAGTTGGCCAACAAAGGACTTGCGAAGGGATTTGACGTGATCGCCGGCAACGACGAGAAGGGCGTGTGCGCGGCGTGTGTCGAAGGAAAAATGGCTCGCAAGCCATTTGGTAGCCGTACCTCACCCCTCGCAAAGGACCCGCTTGCGCTTGTTCACATGGACGTGTGTGGACCGATGCGGCATGCATCAAAGGGAGGAGCGCGGTTCCTCTTAGTGATGCTCGACGACGCGACGCGGATGAGTTGGACCCGACTCTTGAAGGCTAAGGGAGATGCGGCCAAGGCGATTCAAGAGTGGGCGCTCGACGTTTGCGACGACGGCAAGAAGCGGATCAAGTGCATTCGCACCGACGGTGGCGGCGAATTCGTGAGCAACGAGCTTGAAAAATGGATGAAAAGCAAGGGCATTAAGCACGACGTCACGACACCCTACACACCCCAACAAAATGGAGCGGTAGAGCGGCTCAATCGCACATTGATGGAGGCCGTTCGTTCACTTCTTCAACACTCCAAGCTTGGGAACGAGTGGTGGGGAGAGGCGAGTGCGCTAGCGGCATGGATTCGTAATCGTGTGCCAACAAAGGTGCTACCGGGAACGACTCCGTTCGAAGCATGGACCGGAACGAAGCCGAACCTATACCGCCTACGCACCTTTGGGTGCCTTTGCTACTACCATGTACCGGATCCACTTCGCCACAAGTTGCAACCGAAAGCTCGTGCGGCGATCTACTTGGGGATTGCGGCGAACGAGCGTGCATGGCGAGTGTGGGATTTGGATGAAAAACGCGTCGTCACGTCTCGGGATGTGATCTTCGACGAAGACAAGTTCCCGACAAAGGAGAAACAAACGCCGCAACTCACCGTCGTCCTTCCCGCACGAGAGGAGGATGAAGCGGTGGAGGTTTCACCGCACGTGAAGAAGGGAGCCGAAAGTGGAGGGGGAGAGAACGAGGAGTGCGATGATGATGTCGAGGAGGTGCCACCAACCGAGGAGGCCACTTCCTCCGCACCTTCTTCCCTACCATTGGCGTTGACTCGCGGGCGTCGTACACCTCGCCCCAACACGAGGTTAACCGACTATGCTACGGTCGCCGTTGGGGAGTCGGATGAGGAGAGTGCGGCGATTTGCCTAGCGATCATCAGCGACGATAACCCACGCACTCACAAGGAGGCTTTGGCTTCCCCGGATGCACCGCTATGGAAGCAAGCGATGGAGAGGGAGTTAGCATCGATCAAGGAGAACGATGTTTTCGAGCTCGTCGACCCGCCGAAGGGTGCCTACTTGGTGGGATGCAAGTGGGTGCTTAGGAAGAAATTGGGAGCCGATGGAGGTGTCGAACGCTACAAGGCGCGGCTTGTGGCGCAAGGGTACACTCAACGGGAGGGGGAGCACTATAGTGAGACCTTCGCTCCCGTTTCGAAGGCCTCCACTCTTCGGGTGTTGCTCGCGCTAGCGGCATCTCTCAACCTCGAGGTGGAACAATTGGACGTTTGCACCGCCTTCCTCTACGGGCTTCTCATGGAAGAAGTCTACATGCGGCAACCCCCGGGGTACGATGACGGTAGCGGTCGGGTGTGGAAGCTCAAGCGTACCCTCTATGGCTTGAAGCAAAGCCCACGCGGATGGTACAAGCGCATCGACGACTTTCTTCTTCAACACGGCTTCGCGCGTAGCGTGTGTGATAGCGCTTTGTACGTGTTGAAGGAGGGGGAGAAGCAATTGGTGCTTTTGCTCTACGTCGATGACCTCCTTCTTTTCTCCGACTCCAAAGACCTCATTCGAGAGGTCAAGCAACGGCTAGGGGCGGAGTTTGTTATGAGGGACTTGGGACCGGTGACGTACTACCTCGGGATGCACGTCGACCGCGACCGCGCGAACGGGACCATTCACCTCCACCAAGAAAAATATGTGAAAGGGGTTGTGGAGCGCTTCGGCATGGGTAATAGCAACCCGGTGGGGACGCCACTAGACACGGGATTTTCTTGCCTCCCGGGAGAGGAAGAATCCGCCCTCGACGAAGCCGAAGGGAAGCGGTTTCATTCGCTAGTCGGCTCACTCATGTATGCCGCCGTTTCCACCCGTCCCGACCTCTCATACGCCGCCGGGGTACTTGGACGAGCCGTAAGCAACCCTCATACCGAGCATGTGCGTGCGGGAGGACGTGTTCTACGCTACCTCCAAGGCACACCCAACTTGGGAATCGTATATGAAGCCGGTCCAATCGTGCTTAAGGGCTACACCGACTCGGATTATGCCGGTGATCAAAGCAAGCGCAAGAGTACCGGCGGGTACGTCTTCACCTTGCTTGGGGGAGCCGTGAGTTGGCAAAGCAAGTTGCAACCAACCGTGGCTCTAAGCACAACGGAAGCGGAGTATATGGCACTCACTCAAGGAGCCATGGAGGCAATATGGCTACGGCGCCTTCTAGCGGAGCTTGGGCATCCTCAAGCCGACCCAACTCCTCTCTTTTGTGACAACCAAGCGGCCATAAACCTCACTCACAATGCCGTCCTTCACGGGCGTACCAAGCACATTGAGGTGAAGCATCACTTCATTCGTGAGGTGGTCGAGAGAGGTGAGGTCAAGGTCACATACATAAGCACCAAGGCGCAACCCGCGGATTTCCTCACTAAACCACTCCCTAAGGATTCATTCCGTGCATGCCGTGAGCGTGTTGGTATGAACACCTAGTGGCTTGGGTGCAAGGGGGAGTGTTGGAAGGAAACGGTGGTGGGGCGGTGGTATGCCCCCAACCCACCGAGGGCACTTCGGTGCCTTCGATCCCTTTGACTAGGGATCGGTGGGGTGGCACCGATTGACTTCGGGAGACTCACCCTTCGGTGCCACGTGGCGGCACCACATTCCAACCTTCAAGTGCAAGGCGAATTCGGTGTGTTCGGTGTGAAATTCGGTGGTCGAATTTCACCCCAACCGAAATGTTACACGCGGCGCATTCGCGACGCGAGTGTAGCGATGTGATGTTACATGTGCGGTTCGATGTAATGCATTTGCTATAAATCGACCTGCCTTGTATGCATGCTTTATACTGAAATCCTGAATCTTCTTGTACATGGTCAATTCGAACCAAAATTCCAGAGAGGTCTATCCTTGCTTCTAAGAGCACTAGCAATCACGTGAACGCCAATATCTCGGCGTATACTTGGGCGATTAACGTGTTTGACGGCTTGTTGGAAAGTCAAGACTGTGCTCTATCGTTTAGTGCAACTTAGAGTTCCTGCAAAGTAGAGGAGACGCCTCTACAACAAGCAGCAGCAGGAGTCAGCGGTACAGGGCATGATAGCGCAGCAGTCAGCGCAGATGGCGGTGCAGCAACAGCAGCAGCAGCCACAACAGCCCATGCAGGCAGCAGTGCAGCAGCAGCAGGGCATGGTGACAGGCCCTAGTACCGCACCTCTCCCTGGTGCCAGTGGAAGCTACTATTCACCAGCTCCGGGGGCTGCCATGAGTGGAGTGGAAGGGGCAGCACCGTCGTTGGCAGCAGCGATGCAGGGCGAGCATGCGGGTGCAGCAGCACAGGCGTTTGTGGCGCAGATGGCGAGTGAGGCGGCGGAAACTGCGGCACAGAGCATGGCAGCAGCACAGCACATGGCCGCCTCTGCTCCCAACGATGCTGCCGTGCAGCAGGTACCTAATGCCCATGCTGAAACCCATGCCCCCATGTGCTCTTTCCATGTTCTCCAGAGAACATAACGTATTGTTTCTGCGTGTCAATGTGTGGGTGTGGAGCAGGCAGCAGGGCAGCAGGCAGCGTTATCAGAGGAGCAGATGGCTCTGGCACGGCAGCTGGCGGCGGCAAGCAATGATCCAGGCACGGCATTGCACACGGCACAGGTCATTCAGCAGTACCAGCAGCAGATGCAGCAGGAGGCTCAGGGCCAGCTGTAGCTAGGGGTGGTGGTGGAGATACTAGGCACTGCATGCTTTGTGCTTTCACTATATTTTTTGTTGTTGACGATATGTTTTGTAGTTGATCAATAGTGTTATCAGGACAGGTGGTGCACGAAGCTGTGTGCTGTGTATAAATTCAAATTACAACTGAAATGTAAAAAACTTTTAGCAATCTGCAACGGAATTCCACTTTACCGGACTTGCCATAACGCCTCGCATTCTCCAATGATCTGATCTCCTTGCTCCCCTCCCCGCCTCAACTCGTCAACCCACCCCCTCCTGGATCCCACCGCCGCCATTCTCCTTACTTTCCGTGCCTCGCCCTCCCCTCACCCCGAATCCGTCCGCCTATTGGCTTCTTTGTCCGGGGCTGTGCAAGTGGGAGAAGCGGCGTGCGGGGGGGGGGAAGCGCGAGGAGGGGATGCGCGGGAGGTGAGTTGGAGCGATGAAGAAGGCGCAGGAGAAGAAGGCGAAGCGGCACATCTACAGCACGGGCGCCGCTGGGTGCGGAGGGAAGGCGGCGCCCACCAACGCCAAGAACACGGGGCAGGTGCGATCGCACCATGAACGACTCACCATCGGTGGCACTCGAATCTGCCCACCGCTACTCCACCTCCTCAACCCGCCCCACCCCCTCATCCCACACACGCTCACCCTTTTCCCTTTCGCTCTCTCTCGTTTTCCCACCTCCCGTCCTCCTTCCCATCCGCCTTCCCCCTTCCCCCTCCCGCACCACCCCGGCCTCCCTCCCCGTTCCCCGCGTTCCGTTCTCCCCCGCAGCCGCTACCGTGTCCGTTCTGCGAGCGCGTGTTCAAGCAGGACGGGCGACTCAAGGACCACATCAAGAGCCAGCACGCTGACGCCGCCGCCGTCAATGCTGACGTGGACACACCCAACGGAGCGCCGACGACAGGTGTTGCTGGCGCGCAGAGCGTGGGCAGAGGGGCGGGCGCAGCGGGGGCTGGCGCGAATGCGCGGGGAGGTGATGGGGCGGGGAGGGGGAATGGTGCGGCAGTAGGGGGAGTGGATGGGGAGAAGGGCGGAGCTGGAGCGGGAGCGGCAGGCGGAGGCGGGGGGGGGGGCGTGTACTATGTGAAGACGCCCAAGGTGCTGGTGAACGAGTGGTGCCAGAAGAGCAAGCGCCCCACGCCCAAGTACACACACGTGCGCGCCTCCCCACCTCGCCCTCCTCTCGCATTCCCCTGACTCCTCGCCTTTCCCAACACTCCCCCTTCCCTCCTTTCCCCCTTTCTCCCACTCCAATCTCCTCTCACTTCTTCCTTCCCTCAACACCCCTCCGTCCCTATCCCGCCTATACTTCCCGTCCCCATCCTTTTCCCCTGCTCTGCGCGCAGGTGGAGGCGCCAGGCGGGGGCTTCCACGCGCGCGCCATCATCCCGGATCCGCGCGACCCCACACAGGACACCATCGTGTGGTGGCGCGGCACGCCTCCCGCGCCCTCGTCTTTGGACGCGCACAACCGCGCCGCCACCATGGCCCTGCACCGCGTCATGGGCTCCACCAGGTGGAGGGGGGAAAGGGGGAGGGGGGAGCGTGTGTGAGGGAGGGGAACGAGGGGTTGGGGGAACGGCGGGAAAGGGGAATGGGAAGGGTGCTGGGGTGGTGTGGGTGGGAGGAGATGATTTTGGTTTTGAGTTGGATATGAGGGAGGGAGGGATGGGGAGGGTAGTAGAGGGTGAGGAGCAGCGCGCACTGCTTGCATTCCAATCAGCATTCCCGTTCACCCTCCTTCATTCCTCTCTTTCATCCTGCGCTGTCCCACCGCCAGACCCACACGCACCTAACCCTCCTAACACTTCATTCTTGTAACCATTAACCCGTAACACTCTTATGCCTCCACCCGTGCACGTGCGTGCATGGCAGGATGGATCGAGTGTTGGGGGAGGAGTACCGGCAGCAGTGGAGGGATTTAGACCGTGAGGCGGAGGACAGGAAGGAGCGTGACAGGCGCCACGCGGAGGACAGGCAGCGGCGCGAGGAGCGGGAGCGAGCGCAGCAGCAGCGGCAGGTGCAGCGCGCCAATGTGTTCCTGAGCGATGATAAGCGCCAGCTCGTACACGCCCTGCTCTCCACTGCCCCCGCACCTGCCCCCGCCTCCTCCTTGCCTGCCCCGTTTGTCCCCGCCACTACTGCGGCTGCTCCCCAGGGCGGGGTGGACTTGAGCGGGGCTCATGCTGCAACCGCTGGTATTGCCTCAGTGCCACTGCACGCAGCACCGCCAGTGTCAGCAGCGGCTGCTAGTGGCAGCGAGAGTGAGAGCAGCAGGCAGGCAGTGGCCAATCAGCTGCTGGCATCTGGCTTCCCGCTGGAATGGACACAGCAAGCCACTGCCCACTGCTCTGACTACGTGGCAGCACGTGATTGGCTCATCCTGCACATGCCAGAGCACCTGCTCCCAGCCCAGTTCGCTGCCTCCACATCCGCCTCCGCGGTTGCAGTGCTACACTCCGCCTCTCCCGCTGCCATTCCCTCCGCCACCGCCCTCCAAATCGACCAGTGGCAGCCGGGCATCTCCCCTCAGCTGCGCTGGCTACTTGCATGTGGCTATGACGGCCCCTCCGCCCTGCAAGCGCTCTCTCTCACTGCTCATGCCGGTGCAGATGACGAGGTGGCGGCGCTGCAGTGCCTGCAGCAGCGCTTCCCCATGGACGTGCGCGGTGCACAAGGCATGGGGGGAGGGGATGGCGCAGAGGGGGGAGAAGGGGACGCGGAGGGTACGGAGTGGGGGGAAGGGGAGCAGCGGGGCGAGGGGGAGGTGGGGGAGGCGAGGGAGGAGGAGCGCATGGTGCTGGAGGCAATCTTTGGGCCGGATCTGGCAGTGCGCGAGGTGCAGAGCGGTGCTGGGGGGTTGGCGGTGGTGATGTCGGTGCGGATAAAGCAGGAGGCGGGTGGTGCGCATGGGAATGGCGAGGACAGCACGCCTGCACATGCTGCTGCGCTTCATCTTGAGGTGCGCTTCATCTTGAGGTGCGCTGCAAACCCAATGCTACCATGCCGTTTCTCTTGTTTCTGTGCTCATGCCCGCATCTTCCCCTCCTTTGCCCCCTCGTCTCCCCCTCCGCCATTCATTCCTTTTCCTGCACTCTTCCCCCCACCATCCCCCCACTCGCCCCCCACTACCCTCCAGGTCATCATTCCAGCCACCAGCTCCTACCCCTTCTCCCTCCCGCTCCTCGCCTTCCGCCTCTCCTCCTCCAACCCCATCCCCGTCCCGCCCGCCCTCCCCCTCTCCCTGCGCTTCTGGGCTGCCTGCACTCTCCACTACGCCCGCCACAACCTGCCTCCCGGCATGGGAGTCGTGCACTCCCTTGCCACCTGGGCTGCTGACCACGCCCTCCCCGCCTTCCTCTCGCTGCTCTCCCCCCGCCCTGCCTCCTCTGGTCCCTCCCACGCACCCCTGCTTCTCCCTCACCTCGCCTCGCTCTCCCTCACTCCCTCCTCCGGATCCGCCGCCTCCTCCTCCCTATCAGTACCAGTTGCAGCAGCAGCTGTTTCAGCAGCACCAGTCGCTGCTAATTCCAACACAGGTGCTGCTGCTGCTACTGCCAGTGCTGCTGCTACTGCCAGTGCTGGTGCTGCGAGCGCCAGTGCCGGTGGTGCTGGCAGGGACATGGAAGTGCGGGCAGCAGGGGACGACGCATGGTGGCAGCAGAGCACAGCAGGGGGAAAGCCAGGCAGGGGAGCACGGCGGGGAATGGGGGAGGGCGAAGCCAGGGAGGATTGGGAGCGGCTGAAGCGGCGGTGGGAGGAGATGCAGGGGAGCAGGCAGCACGCGGGCATGATGCAGACGCGGAGGGGCCTGCCTGTGGCGGCGTCCAGAGCGCAAGTGCTGGCAGCACTGCAGCAGTCGTGGGTGGTGGTGGTCAGTGGCGCCACTGGCAGCGGCAAGAGCACCCAGGTCCGTGCGGGGAAGGCCTGGAGGAGAGTGGAGAAGATGGGAGGGGAGAGGTAGAAATGGGGGCAAGTGGTTGGGGATTGGGGAGGGGAGGCGAAAAGGGGGGGAGCATGGGATTGAGCAAAGGTCAAGGACCGATCATGGGTTATGGTTTTCATGCTGCTACATCGTATCCTGTTGCTCTCATGTACCCGTCCTGTAGTGTCCCGTTGTGCGCCTGTTGCTCTTTCACCAACCATCATTCCATCCAACCCCTCTCGTGCTGTCGCTCCATCCATCTGCATCACTCTCGCGCCCGCATCTCCCAACCTCCCCCCTGCTCCCTCCCACCACCAGGTGCCCCAGTACATTCTAGAGGGCGCCTCTGAGGTGCCGCCGCTCCATCCATCGGTATCACTCTCGTGCATTCATCTCCTACCCCCCCTTTCTCTCCCCCCCACCAGGTGCCCCAGTACATCCTGGAGGGCGCCTTAGAGGAATCCGCCGCTACACCTGCGTCATCCTCGCACCCTGCACCGTGCTGCTCCGTGGTGATCACGCAGCCGCGTCGCATATCAGCAGTGGGCCTCGCACACAGGGTGGCGCAGGAGAGGGCTGAGACTGTCGGCGACACTGTGAGTGCCACCTGCCCTCCCGCCCTCCCGCCCTCCCGCCCTCCCGCCCTCCCTCCCTTTGTCGCTCTCTCCGCTTCTCCTCCTCGGCTGCTCTTTTCTTGCAACAGAAGCATCTTTCAAGCACCCACCCTCCTCCATGCGTTTCCTCTTGAGCCCGCCCCTCTTCCTTCTCTACCCCTGATCCCACCCTTTCTGCCCCCTGCTGAGATACACCCTTTCTCACGCACCCCAAAAATCCTCTCACTCACTCCCCCTCCATGCCTGCCTGTCGGCTCGGCTACCAGGTGGGGTATGCGATCCGCATGGAGGCACGGCGCTCGCAGCGCACGCGGCTGCTCTTCTGCACCACAGGGCTGCTGCTGCGGCGCCTGCTGGCGGACCCACTGCTGGCGGGGGTGTCACACGTGGTGGTAGACGAGGTGCATGAGCGCTCTCTCGACAGCGACCTGCTGCTGCTGCTGCTGCGCTTCACACTCCTGCAACGCAACCTGGCTCAACAGCAGGGGCCGGGCCAGGAGAAGCTGCATCTGTGCGTACCGCATTGCACTCCTGTATCCCTGCCTGCTCGCACCCTCAGCTGCGTTGCTAGCACCTCAGCTGCGTTGCTCGCACCCTCAGCTGCGTTGCTCGCACCCTCACCTGCGTTGCTCGCACCCTCACCTGCGTTGCTCGCACCCTCAGCTGCGTTGCTTGCACCCTCAGCTGCGTTGCTCGCACCCTCAGCTGCGTTGCTCGCACCTTCACCTGAGCACCGTTTCTCACCAGTCTCACCTCTCCTCCTCCCCTTCAACCCACCCTTACTGCTCATTTCCTCGTCCCACCCACCATTTCATTCTAGCTTCCCCCGCCCACCCCCTTCTCCCCCCTCCCCCTTGGTGTGCTTGGCAGGCTGCGCATAGTGCTCATGTCAGCCACAGCCGACGCACACGCCTTCGCAGACTACTTCCACCGCCTCCTCCTCTCCCACTCCCACCACTTCCCGCCCTCCCTCCTCTCTCCCCACCCCACATCCCTCACGCCCTCCACTCCCCTCTCCTCCCTCCTCACCTCACGCCTGCCGCGCCCGGCGCTGATCACAGTACCAGGGCGCACCCACCCGGTGCGACAGTTGTTTCTGGAAGACGCTCTTGCCCTCACCAACACGGTTATTGGCCGCAACTCCAAGTATGCGCGTAAGGGCGCCGGCAAGAGCAACGCTGTTGCAGGAGGCATGGCACGCGGGGAAAGTGCAGGCAGGGAGGGTGGCGGGGCTGTGGAGATGGGGGCAAATGGGGGCGGAGCTGGAGAAAAGGTGGGAGACGCGGAGGAGGGTAAGGTGGCGGGGGAGGAAGACGATGAGGAGGAGGAGGGTGGGTGGGAGTCTCTGGCGGATGATGCGGGTGATGTGATCAGCAACAGCAGCAGCAGTGGGCGCAGCAGTGGTGCGGCACTCAGTGCGAGCTCTGCTCCCATGGCAGAGCACGGCATGGGTGTGGCGGGTGGCAATGGAACAGGTGGACAGGGGGCAGTAACAGCAGCAGCAACAGGAGGAGCGGTTGCAGGTGGACGGGCAGGAGCGGTGGCAGGAGGAGGAGGGGCAGGAGGGGGTGGGCAGTACAGTGAGGCGGTGTTGCGGTCGCTGGCAGTGGTGGAGGAGAGTGTGATCAACTACGAGCTGATAGAAGCCCTCATCGCTGCCATCGTGCGCTCCAACTCCCACCCCCACCAGCATCAGCAGCAGCAGCAGCAGTGGCAGCAGCGGGAAGAGGAGGTGGTGGGGTCGTCAGCAGGCAGCAGCGACGGCAGCAGCACCTTCAGCTGGGACAGCGCAGCCAGCAGCAGCAGTGGTAACAGCAGCGCCGCTGCCTCATCGTTGCTGGTGCCTGAACCAGCAGAGGGCAGAACGGGCAGTGGGCCGTCAAGAGGCGCGCTCAAGGCGAGGGGCATACTGGTGTTCCTGCCGGGTATGGCTGAGATCAAGCACTTGCAGCGACAGCTGGAGGGGAGCCGGGTGCTGCAGCAGGCGGTGGGGGGGGCGGGGCAGCGAGGAGGGCGGGGGGCGATGGTGGTGGTGCCGCTGCACGGGTCCCTGGCACAGAAGGAGCAGCAGCGGGTGTTTGCAGCGGTGGCGGAGGGCACGTGGAAGGTGGTGCTTTCTACTAACGTGGCTGAGACCAGTGTCACCATCGACGATGTCGTGTGCGTGCTCCATGCCCTGCCCATGCCCATGCTATGCCATGCCCCTCCATGCCATGCCCTGCCATTCCATGCCATTCCATGCCATGCCATGCCATGCCATGCCATGCCATGCCATGCCATGCACACATGCGAGCATACACCCTACTACCCCACATCACAGCCACCGTTCAATTCCCCTCACCCCATCCAACCTCTCAACTTCCCCTGTTCCATCCGCATCCCTTGTGTCGCCCTTTTCCTGCACCCCTCCCCCCCGCTCTCCGCGGTGAGCAGGTGGGTGGTGGACAGTGGGCGGAAGAGGGAGGTGGTGCACGATGTGGTGCGGGGCATGGACGTCATGGGCGATGCGTGGGTGTCACAGGCAGCGGCATCGCAGAGGGCGGGGCGAGCAGGCAGGGTGCAGCCGGGGTGCTGCATCCGCCTCTACTCGCGCTCCCTCTTCCACTCCCTGCCGCCGCACACGCCACCGGAGATGCTGCGCGTCTCCCTCCACTCGCTCTGCTTGCAGGTGATCAGGAGCTCAGGTTCTGGAGGTCAGGTTCTGGAGGTCAGGTTCTGGAGCTCGGGTTCTGAAGCTCAGGGGCTGGGCGGCAAGCAGGGAGTGCAGGCGAGGAGGGGAGTAGCATTGGAAAGAGCGAAGTAGTCCATTGGACCAAGTCGCGCGCGTGGACTAAGTCCAGTCCTTCGCCATGCCATGCCCCGCCGCCACCACCCTCCAGCTTACCCTCCAACTCTTCCCACTGTTTTCGAAGCACCAGCACTCATCTCCACCCTTCTGCCCCGCACTGCCCCCTCTGCTCATCCCACCAGGTGAAGGCCATGCTGCCATCCATGCCGGTGGCCCAGTGCCTCTCCCTCGCGCTCACGCCCCCTCCACCCACCGCCATCTCCTCCTCGCTCGCATGCCTGGCGTCCCTGTCCGCGCTGCACTTACCATCAGAGGTGCTCTCTCCTCTGGGCGCGCATCTAGCTCGTCTGCCTCTGGACGTGCATGTGGGCAAAATGCTGCTCTTCTCCGTGCTGCTGCGCTGCCTCGACCCCGCCCTCTCCATCGCTGCAGCCGCGGCGCACGCGCGCCCGCTCTTCCTCGCGTCGCCTGCCCACAGGGACGTGGCGGCGCAGGCCAAGGCACGGTTCGCTGGTGCCACACGCAGTGACCATGTGGCCGTGGCAGTGGCGTACCAGGGATGGGTGGACTCTAGGGGCGGAGGGAGGGGCGGTGGGGGAGGTGAATGGGCTTACTGTGAGGCGAATGGTTTGTCGCGGGATACTCTGGTGGCTATGGAGGGCCTCAGGCGAGACTTTGTGCTGTCGCTTGCGTCCCTTGGCTTCCTACCTGCTAGCTATGTGTCTGCGTGGATGGACAAGGACAAGGGCACCAGACATGGCCGTGTGGAGGGTGCAGCAGGCAGGGGTGGGGAGGGACAGCGCTGGGATGTGTTCAACGAGAACTCACAGTCGTGGCGTGTGGTGAAGGGTGTTATCTGTGCTGGCTTCTACCCCAACGTGGTGCGCGTGCAGAGGCCTGAGAAGCGCTTTGTCAAGACAGAGCATGGGGCAGTGGAAAAGGATGCAGCAGCACGTGCAGTGCGCTTCTACACCCGAGAAGACGGCCGCGTGTTCTTGCATCCAGGCAGCGTGAACTTCTTACAGGGCACGTTTGAAAGCCCGTGGCTTGTGTTCAGTGAGAAGGTCCAGACCAGCAAGATTTTTATCAGGGAGTGCTCCATGGCTCCAGCCTTCGCCCTGCTCTTGCTGGGTGGTCTGCTCAACGTCAATGCAGAGAGGCGGCTCGTCACTGTGGACAACTGGATTCAGTTCGAGGCACCTGGCCGCATCGGAATATTGGTCAGGGAAATGCGAAGCAAGGTTGAGGAGGTGTTGAGGGACAAGATAGCTAGACCTGACATGGATCTTAGCAGTCATCCTGTGCTGGAGGGCATGGCTGAACTTATTTCTTCTGAGGGGTTTTAAAGCACAAGATTGTTAGAGTATAGGTATGAATGGATGTTGAGTATCGAGAGAGTTGGTACAAAGGAAAAACCTAAGGGGTTGTACCCCACAGTGAGTACCCCACTAAGCCTACCCAAACTATAAAATATATATATGTTTGACAAAGATTAAATTGAGAAGCTGTGAGGCAAAGTGAATGCAGGTGTTGGGTAGTAATGCAAGTTTCTTCTGAGGGGCTTTGAAGGACGAGACTGATTAGAGAAGCTGAGAGGAAAAGTGAATGCAGGTGTTGGGTTCTGTAATACGGTACAAGTGCTTCAATAATGAAAGTACAGTAGTTGTATTTCACGAAAATGAACCATACCTCTGTCACAAATTGTCTGGGGATCCATCGTTCATTCCATCAAATAACTTGAATTATTTGTAGGGGTAAAATATATCAACCAATCAGTTTGCAGAGTATCCTGCATATCAAGGTCAATAAATGAGCTACTAGTAATCCTGTGGATGCCCCTGTACAGGGTTGGGCGACAGGTCCCGCTTCTTTCCCCAAGTATTTACACCTGACTCATCTGCAATAGATGCTGAACAGTGAGGAGAGGCACGCTTCTTACCAACCACCGATGTATCTTCAGTGCTTGGTGTCTCTGAATCAGTTGACTCACAATCTCCAGCAGCCCTGGTATCCTGTACATGTAAGCTGAGGGCTTCATCAATGACCGAAGATGCTGGGGAAGAAGAGCGAGGATCACTCGAGACAACCGCTACTGGCACAACAGGACGGAATCCCGAGGTTTTCGAGAAAGTAGCAACTCGGTGCCGCATGTCTGCCAGTGCCGCCTCTAGAACCTGTTCGCGTACTGCCTTGGCATCAGTTTCACTTGGATGCTCAGATTTCACTTCAACAAATGAGGTGCTGGAAATGGGTGCCAGAGACATTGGGGTGGAGGTTGAGGGTGCATAGGGATGGGGGGGAGAGATGCTTGTCCCTGCATGACTGTTGCTGCCAACTTGAGCATTGAAGACGGGGACAGGAGGGCGGGGATACCAGAGGCTGTTTGAACCGTGCCCCGAATGCGCCAGTGGTTGCTGCACAGTAGAACAGACGACGTCAATAAAAATTCGTAGGAATTCGCACAGCAGCCAAGGCTTGATGGCAAGAACTTACGCTTGCCTGTTGCAGAAGAGATATCGCATCATAATAGAGGCGTTGCATGCGCTTGAGTTCGCTCGAGAGAAAAGCGTTTTCCGACTGAAGACGCTCGACTTCGTCAGCAGCACAAACTTCCTTGATAGGCTCAGGTGCTTTTGACGGACCCTGGAGAACGACGAGAAACAGAGGGTACGACATGGCGGAGTTTCAGAACAAAGGACCGGGAAATAACATACGGGGCATATGAATGACAATGTTCAGCTGCAATGGTTGATACCGTTGATTAACAAACAAGTCTCGGCGTGAATGCCCACCTCCCCAACCCGAATGGAGATCATTACGTACAGCCTGCGGTATATGGTTGTTGGCGATTGGTACAAACGACTTCCGTCGTTGGATTTCACATAGCAGCCGAAACTCGCCCTTTTTGAAATAATCGTTTCCAAACTCCCATCTCGTCGGCGCAACCTTTCGAAATCCCTGGAAGAAGACCGAACGACGTCTGTGTAAGCACTCAATATATGCAGACAGCCTCGGCAAAAAACTGAGAATGCGAACGTACGTATGTATTTAACTGGCGAACGAAGCTCGAGAAGTTATTGTGCTTGAAGTAGTTCGGAAGCAGGTCTCGTGCAAATTCCATCGGCTTCCACACAACGAAGGTGACCAGCTCAGAGCCCCAACTGACGACTTCATCAGTAGAAGAGTCGTCAACCAGCTGATATGTCTTCGTGAGGAATGGCGGTGGAACCGGCCGGTGGCAGTCATGGAGAGAGGATGATCGAGTTCCTTGCTGGACCATTTTTTCCAACGTGTTCCTTCACAACTCACACCCTGCGACACACATATGCCGTGCGTCTGAGGAGATGATCCACAAACATTCTGGAAAGGGCGAACACGATTGGAAACTGAAACTCGCTCACTGACGTCGTTTCGTCTTAGGGTAATCGCGAGTACCTCGAACAGTTTTGGACGTCAGCAACATTGAGTGAAGAGCTGCTGTACAAAAACTGAGTCAATGGAAACGCTGAGAGCAAAAATGGTGGTTCAGAGCTCCAACAAAACGTGAGGCTGTGGATCTTGCCTCCCTCAAGGCTATCACTCACCCCGTCGTTGCGACCCTCGCAAACACGAGGGTTCACTGGTGTTTCCACCTGCGCGCCACCGAAGCCGAGCCTGATCGAGGTAGGACATCCGCGTCACCACCTCGTCACTCAATGCCACCATCAACCAAGATACTGGCTGGGCCCCTGGTTGAGGCTGTGGAAATGGTCGAGGAGAAACGAAACGTCAAATAAAATGTTCGCACGTAGCCATCCATCATCCGCGAACCACTCGCAAACCTTCAGTGTACACCTCACCAGATATTTCCGAAGGTAAATTGCCAGCGTGGTCTGGTTGGGAAAGGCCTGGCGCGGATCTGGGCGAATCTCGCTGTGAGCTTTTCCCAGATACAGTACACTTGGTCCTCCATTACGGTCACCCCAGGATTACAACTAGTCGGGCTATTTCTCTGGGATAAAGCACACGAGAACACTTATTGCGCTCTACACAAGCATACATGCTAAATCACAGAATTAAACTTGCTCCCACCACCCATCATGAAACTGGTGCAAAGCAAGCACACGAACTCACATTGTCCTACCCTATTGCCCTATCCAGTGACTAAAGATTCACATAGCTTATACTGCCAACATACCGTATGTTGAATGCACATGGTCCTGCTACAACTGTGGATTGTGTTTTGGTCCTGGTCTATCATAGCCCTACACTTGCAACACATAAGGTTAGGTACAAGATTTGAGAGAAACCAGCACTACAAAAGCAGAAGTGAGACAAGGAGAGGAAGCAGCGAACTGTATGAGCAGCGCACATCAAGTGTTCTGTGGTCAAAATTGCTTCCACAGTCGAAAAAAGGCACAATGGGGCACTATGCCTTGCACCTCAGCATGCTAACGTGCATGAGGATCTGACTGTGTAGTTTTTGAGGACGTCGAGTTGCCAGTGCTGATGCGGTCTGGCTTTGTCGCCCATGGTACACCCAATGGCACTACTAGTAGGGCACACTTGCTGTCACTCGCAGGCGCTATCGCGCGGCTCCTTGCTTCGCAAGTTGATTTTGATCCGCTTTCCCTTCTCTGCCACACCCTCCTCCACACTTCGCTTCTTGCGATATGCAGAAAATGCAACAGGCCGTGACTGCATATCAACCGCGTGTGATTGAGCCAGTGCAGACGACTGACTGGGTCCGGCTTCTGTTAAGCTGTCTTCAACTCCCCTTGCCAACCCTCCAGTGTGCTGCTTCTCCTTTTCTGCCAGCAGTCCTATCTCCACTGCAGCACTGCCCACCATACCATCCCCTGCTGGGGAACGTGGGCTGTCAACACTGCTTGAAGTCGGTGGGGGGCGGATGGGCATGGGAGGGCAGGAATGAGCCATCTGCACCCAGGTAGGCTTGGATGGATGAGAGGCAGAGGAAGTGATCCAGTATGTGCCTCCTGCGTCTGACTGCTGCTCCCTCACTTGCCTGCTATGCCTCGTTTGCAGTTGGTCCTGACTACATCCGTCCTTGCCATCATTCTCAACCACTCTGGATGCCCCTTCAGACTCCCCATGCGACTCCTGCTTCTTCACGATGCCTGGGTGTGGGAGAAAGAGGGGAAGAGGCAGTATCAACCATGCGATCACCAGAAAAACGAACCTTAAAACCGGAATTTCCGAGTTTCCTCAGATTGCCCTATCCTTCCTACCTTTGGTTGGGTGTAATTCAGTAGAGTACAAACAACTTCACAAATCATCGGTAAGATTTTAGCGACCTGAGATCACTGTATTATCGACGACAACTGCAGTGACGAGTTCGCACAATAACTTCCCCCGTATCCAAAATTCCCGGCGAAGGGGTTTATGAGTTGCATTTCAGATTTGGTAACTCTCGCTATATATTCTCACTCCGCGACCCACGTCTAGCTATTTCGACACCACCCTGGTTCGCGAGCCAGTTCTGGCCCTTTCTCCAACCATCCTTCCTACCTTTGAGACCTATGGACCCTTTAAATTGTTGGTAAAAACCCCTGACGTACCTGAGAGGAAGGAGAGGATGTGCATGTCTGCTGCAGCGTGCAGGGCCGTCTGGCCGCGGTTATTGGTGATGTTTAGTGCGCAACCTGGCGGCACAACAGACAAACCGAAAGGGTGCATTCAGTTCTGTTGCACGTGCGCCATGCTAATACAGGGGGGAAATTTGCTACCAGTGATACGGAACGCAGTGCAGCAGAGCACGTACCAGCGGCGACAAGCAGCTCAACCACCAGGCTTCTGCCTGCCTTCGCTGCCCAGTGAAGGGGCGTGTCACCGGACTGCAATAAACAGAGCGGTTCGAGCTAGCGGGGACGTCAGAATGTGAGTCGTATTGAGAACATGGGATGGGGGGGAAGGGTGGTGGGAAGGGAACATTTACAGTGGCGGCATTTCGTGGTCTCACATGCGTTTGGATGTTGATGTCGCCGCCACAATTGTAATATCCATCCTGCGCAGGATCGGTGTTCCACGGCCCACGGGTACAGTACTTTCGGAGAGTCGATAATTGGTGGTTTCCTTTTTTCGTTAACATTTGCGAGTGTGAAGTAGCTTGGTGACAACGATCGATCGTGCAATTTTGTCCACATCGGGCAATTTTGCCCCATAAATTATTGATCGTGTCACTTGAGACTCAGAGTCTGCCCGCGATTGCAAACATGCAGTCGTGACACACCGATGTGGCGATTGATTTGGCAGGATCGGTGAAACCCCCCATCCTTCCACGGTTTTTCAATTGTGACGCGTTCTGAGGCACTGATCTGGCTTTTGCTTCTTTCCCTCCCTCTTCTTCTTTCACGTTTTTTCCCCTCCCCCTCAGACTGCCGCGCTGGTGAATTCAGGTCAGGTCTCCTCCTAATGGCAGTGATGGGCCTCACGGCAGTGCTGCAGTCGACACACACGGAGCTGCACGAGAGGGACAGCAAGCCCACTCTCTCTCTTCCACCATCCACTGTCCAGACATGTGCTATCCTTTTCACACCTCCTTCTCGAATGGTCCTTCTCTCTCTCCTCCGCCGTTCCCTCTCTCCTCCGCCCTCCCCTCTCTCCTCCGCCCTCCCCTCTCTCCTCCACCTCACCCCCGTCTTCTCCCACCACCCCTTAACAGACTGCTGCTCTTGCGCAATGTCAGCGGGGTGAAGGGGCTTCCGCCGGCACACGAGATGCAACGGCGCGCGGCCTGGGCCGTCGCGCGCGTTCGGATCGTTTCCTGGCTGCCATAGCGGAGGCGTTGCCGAGGGAATCATCGGCGCGCTGTGACACTGTCGGGTGGCATGGTGCTGAGGAGCGGACTCAACGGACGCAGCTGCAGCGCGGAGGAGTTTATGCAACGGAGAGTGAACGGGGTATTATTGGGATCCGTCATGGTGCGGTGGACCAAAAGTCTGAATGTTATTTTCGCTGTGGCGCGACACGAGAAACGGCGATCAGGAAAGGAGGAAGGGAAGCGATGATCTTCAAGATCACGACATTCCTTCCCGTCGGCGCCGCCAAATCACGTACTCACTGACAAGTGACCATCGGCGTCTTTGGTACCTCGTACCTCTCTGGTCTGGATGAGTGGTGTGATGTCGAATGGTATAGTTCTGTTGGAACTGGGCAGATTTGTTATTCTGCAAGAATACTGTACTAACAAATCAATTGAATAATTAAAACGCCGTTCTGGTGCAATACAGTTTATAATAGTATAGGGCATGCAGTCAAAGTGAAACACCTTGACGGGTCACGGAATCCTTGGGACCGAACCGAGCTGAAGCAATCCATGCTGTCACGTAGCGTGACGAGGAAAGCGCCGCAACCAGCGCAGCATAGGAGGACCTGTAGTTACGACCACAAAACATCAGCATGGCGTCACCAAGAGTGGCGGGCGGGGGTGATGAGGGGCACGGATGGTGGTGGCAGGCAAGGCAAGGTCACGGTGGCCTCCATAGAGAGATGAAGCGCCATGAATCACGGCAGGTGGGCCACTGATCCCAAAATTTTTGTGGGTTTCCTGATTGCGCACTGTAGCCATGTTAGAATAACAGTTTTGTCACGCATGGTTCACTCCATCATTCCACGAGAAAGAAGAATGTGGAGAAAATGCCAGCCATTGCATTGCACGGAAGGCAGTTACAGTACTGTGTGTCTCGATGCTACTGTACATGAGTTTCTGTGGAATGCAGCATTGTCTTCTTTCGTGGCGTGAATCAACAGTACCGCCTTTCATTTCACGCTTCACGTGTCTTTTTGAACGCGCAAAAGCCAGACTATCCAACCCTGAGTTCCACTTTTGCCCACCTCATGTCACGAATGGACACGATGTGGTGCGGTGTGGGTTTCTGACACGGCGTCCTCCCTGACAATCACAGTTCCCATTTGAAGTGGATTTTGGCGGTTTCGTCGCTTCTGCCACATACCCAAAAATCACGTGACGTGCAGGTGCGCTGCTGCAACTTGGAGTGCAGCGTGGCTGATTGTGCCCCTCTTTCGATCCTTGATATAACGTATCCTCTTGTCAGTCTCACGTCCTGCCATATGTTTCCGGCGTGTGAATAATTTTATAAATGGTGTTGAATTAGGGCATTATAATCAGAAAAATTCATACAAACCAGCTGCTTCCCATATCACTCAAGCTCATTGTAACGGGATTGTAAGGGTGTGACATTACCCTTCTATCGAATCACGGATTAAGAGCCTTAGCCTTGGTGGTGTGAGTCGAGCCACGTGTACGGCATCGAAATACTCCAAGCTCATAGAAGCTGTGCGCGATCACTCCCCCTAATGCACTGTATGTGCTCATGTGGCGAACCGTGTGTGGTTCAGGCGCGTCGGACCTCAGTTGTAATGTCGGTTCGGAGTGTCTTGACCGCTGGATCTTCTCCTCCACAGTCAAGTTCCGCCCAGCCACACCCTCTCTAGTCTCGCATTTCCACCATAACAAATAAGGATTTGCCCTGGACCGAACCAGACACCCAATGACGGGGCTGGGGCACCAGGCGAAACGGGGACACCTTGTGTGCATAGCCCGTAAACCACATCACTAGCCTAGGCCAGGATACGGGCTTACCTAAGCGGCACTGCGTTTGCACACCAGAGGAGATGTCACACCAGAGCCTTTTTTTTCCCATGAACTATATTCGGGGTGGGATCACACCTTCTCAAGCATCTCACCACCGAGGGCCTACGAAAAGCTGGCTTGTTTCGGACGAAATGGAATCACAGATCACGTGTCCAAACTTCGGATTGTCTCGCAAGTTGAGTTGAGTGAGTTACCACCTTCCGATAGAAAAAATGTTTTGGCTCCATTTCCTTTTCTTCGCGGAATCTCCTGTCTCATCGGAAGCCTTGCACCACACACTCTCGCATTAGCTGGATAAGAGCCGGGAGAGTCAGAATGACTGGGTCAGTTTTCAAAAGAGCCGACTTCAATCCGAGTATCTGCTCTTTCACCCACTTTTGTTCGTCAAATCGTTGTTCCACCACGCTAAGTCGGTTATCATGGCTTCCCAGGATGGTGCCCAGGAGGCCCCGAAGCTAACGATTTGCGTGGGCGACATTCACGGACATTACGTGCGATTAGTGAATCTGTGGAAGCGGTTAGAAGCGAAGGCAGGCGACGACTTCGCAACGTGCACGGTAATTTTCCTCGGCGACTTCAACGACCGTGGGCCGCGCACCAAGGACGTCATCGAGTGGCTCGTCGGTCTGCCGGAGCGCTACCCTCAGCAGAAGCACGTCTTCCTGGCCGGCAACCACGACTTCTCCTTCGCGTCGTTCATCGGCGCGCTGCCTCGCTTCGAGCCGCCTTCGGGGTTCAAGTTCTCGGAGACGTGGCGAGGCGCGGAGAAGGACGAGGAGCGCGAGGGATGGTGGAAGGGCGACGACATGGAGAACGTGCACCTGCAGGTACGACGCGCATCGTCAAATACTTTTATATGCCTTCACACGTCCGTGGTGTTCTGTTTGCACGTGCGGGACCATCGCCATACCAACCTCGACTCTCTATCTGCCCTGCGCTCACGCTTCGTTCTAATCTCTCGTTCTCCCCTCCACGTGACCTCGCGAGTGCAGGGTCGCAGGTGGGCGGGGAAGATCAAGGACCTCATCAGCAAGAAGGGGAAGCCCTACGACGGCTCCACGTACGACGCGGGCGCCACCTTCCGCTCCTACGGCGCGGAATTCGGTAACCGCGAAGCGCTCATCGCTGCTGTGCCGGAGTCGCACAAGGAGTTTCTACGCAACCTTTCCTGGATCTACGAGGCGGTAAGCGGCTCACTCTTGCTACAACATCACAAGAACATAACGCGAGGCATCATCACTGACAGATTGTTCTCTTTTTGTCCAACATCTAACGCCCGCTGACGTACTCTCTTTTCTCCTCGCCGCCATGTCTTTCTCAACCCGTCCGTGTTATGGCAGCCCGGCGTGGACACGGGCGATGCGGCGACGAGCTACAGCAGGCTGATCGCGGTGCACGCGGGGTTCGACAAGGACCGGCCGCTGGGCGAGCAAATCGAGGAGCTCCGGCGGCGACAGCCCGTGGCTAGCAGATACGAGGCGCTCAGCGGACGCAAGAACGTGTGGGACAATCCCGAGGTGAGAACGGGCGGAGAACGCGGTGATGGGTGTCAGGGACGAGGGCTGGAACCTTCTTAATCTGGTCGCCGAGAGCTGATAGGAATCCGTGCTTCCACAGAGAACTCTGGAAGCACAGAGTTTTTGAGTTTCTGGACCTGGTCGAATTCAGCATGGCTGTTTGGTGACAACGCGAACTTAAACTGTCAATTTTGTCTCACCGATCGTACCCCTTCCTGTATGGTGCAGGAGTTGGAAAAAGATAACGTGCTGGTGGTGAGTGGGCACCATGGCGTGCTCGACACATCACGGCGCCTGCGACTGATCATCGACGAGGCGGGTGGGCTGGACGCTCCCATTGCTGCCATGCTGCTGCCATCCCGGGAGATCATCAGAGACACTGACCCGCTGCCCAGCTCTGAAGATGTCGTGGCTCAAATGACTGAGGTAGCAGAGGCAGCAGCTATGACACAGGAGGAGTCTGCACGTGAACTGGAGCCTGTAGCTGCATAGACCAAGAAAGGTGGTGGGGGCTGTTGAGTGGTATTTGTTGAAACCGTCTGTAAAAAAGGAGGCTGTAAAACTAAATACTGTAAGCCTTATACCGGTACCATAAATGTTATGTGTGCAGGACACGGTGTTACAGCATACACCTAGCCTGTTACGAGTTGTACTAAGAAGAGTGCGCGGAAGACTTTATAAAAAGGATGTCGAATACAGAATGCTCAGAATGATAAAGAGGCAAGCATTTATAGGGTCGAAACCGTGCTAGGCGAGGACCTTGGGACGTGGTTGGATTGGAAGTGTCGCGGTGGTGCGGGGCGTCTCGGCAGTGGTTCGGGCCGAAGTGTAGGCCGAACCGAATCTGACGCGAAGTGCTCGGGGTTGTCCTCGCTAGGAGCAGCCTCTACAGTAATGAATTCGTATTCATTACATAGGTAGCCCGCGCCAATTTCACACCCCGTCAGTTTTGGGTTAAAACCCATTTGGACCTTTTTTGGCTTTGGGGATCAGACACCCAAGGAACTTGAGGCTATCCGTGGCATTGTGAAGTGTCGATGTTGTGAAAGTGTGAGTTTGTGACCGCAACGTAAAGACTGGATCTTCCGCTGCGATGCGACCATGTTTTTATTTTCCCGCTGACTCTTGAGTGGAGTCTGAATCGTTAATTCCTTAAAACCAGACTTTTTGAAATAACCCTTTATGTCCGGGTAAATCAGGAACGGATACACAGGGGTGTGAAGTTGGAGGGTGTGAAAATAACGCGGACCATGTGTAATTTGTCAGTTCCAACTGCCAATATACGTCAGTGGGCACTCTTGCAAATGGTAACAGTGGGTGTGTGTGGGCTCATACTGTAATTTGTAATCTACCACGCACTATGCACCCTTGCAAATGTGGCCAAAATAGGACAAAAAAAGCCAACTGCTTGAAAACATTAGCTGAACTAAACATCTCAAATTTGCGGTGAGAATTCCAGAACTGAAGACCAAAACAAGCTGTAAGAAACAAGGCAAAAAGCCAGCAAACCAGCATTCCCAACTGCTTTGGTTCTAAACGACAATGAAGCAGTGGAGTTCCAGTGCTGCAGTTACCCAAAACAAGCTTCATTGGCTGCATTGCTGTGAAATAGGGAGGGAGTGGTTGTCAGGGACAGTGGGTCAGAAGGCTCCAACAATGAGATATTGAAACTTGATACTGAGCAGCTGCAAGTGTAGCATACCTCACTCTAGTGGCTCTTGCATTGCAGTGGCACCATGAGGAACAATGACACTGCACGAGCCACCAGTACCGGAGGAGCTATCCCACATGAGGTTATCCCTCAGAGGGTCCGAGTACATATCCACAGAACGCGCCACAATCAGCCGCCCATTCAGCACACCTTCTCCCAGCGTGTATCTGGTTCCTAAATCTGACGCTCTAGATGCTCCTGATGCCCAAGCTGCTGGCACTGCGGCCACTGATGTCGCACCAGGTGGTGGCATGCCGAGTGGCCTCCTCGAACTAATACTAGTAGCGATTCCTCCTTTTCCTGAAACTGATGTTGCTGCAGCAGGTGCTGCAGTGGACACTGCTGGCCTTGCTGCTGCTGCTGCAGCAGCTAGCTTCTGCCACGTGTTGGCCCCATGGGATGATGGGGCAGCAGCAGCAGGTGTTACTGATGCCGACTGGTTGACCCGGGGGAACGAACCAGGAGAGGTGGATGAGGATGGGTGAGTGCTGTTGGAGGGGAGGACGGAGGTGTGGAAAGGAGGAGGCGAAGGAGTGGTAGTCCCAGTGGGAGGGGAGGCAGATAGTAGGGAGGAACCCGAGAAGAAGTTGGCCGACAGGGCGAAATGTGAGGGGTCACGGGAAGCTGGAATGGGGGAGGCAGAGAGAAACATACAAAACAAATAGTCGTCAGTGGAGCAGCAGTGGGGCCAGAAGCTGAGGCTGATGGAGGAAACCAGGTGAGATGCAACAACCGGGGCTTGGTAAGAGCGGAGTATGTATCGAGTAAAGGAGGGACGAACCTTGGTTACGGTTGGGCTGTTGTGGCACTTTAACATGCCCACACACAGCAGCAAATGACCCATCCTCCTCGTCCTCATCCTTCGCCTCTGCTACTTTACCTGTTCCCACCCCCAAGCCTGCAGGCACCACGGGTGCAACCTTTCTTCCCGCCTGCTGCTGCTCCTGCACTGGAATCACAACTGCTGCCTTCATTGCTGTCATACCAGTCACGTGTGCTGGCACTGCCAACGCACCAGTAGTGGCAGAGACGGTAGGGATTGAAACAGCAGTGGTAGCAGTGACAGCAGGGATTCTCTGAGACTTGTGTCCAGCTCCCACGCCTGGTGCTGCCATTGCTTGTGCGCCTGGTGGTGGCTTCTTCTGAGACCCAGACACTCCACTGAACACTCTGGCGGCCGCATCAGCTGCTGCCACTCCATTGTCCATACTGCTGCATGCAGTAGGTCCTGTCGTAGAGGCAGTGGCAGTGGTGCATTTGCGTAGAGCAGAGCCGGCACTGGGTGAAGAAGATGGCACTGTTGACATGCTAGGAGATGGACCTGAAGCCAACGCAGAGTGTAGCACAAGGGCGAGATTTGGGCAGGAAAAGGAAGGGGGGGAGATAAGGGCAATGGTATTGGCATGATAAATCACACCAGCATCGGCATTTTGCATCAATTCTTCCTGCACACCTGATGCTGTTGATGCGGAGCGAGGATGCCCGAGAGAATGCGACATGCCTTGGCCTCCTGAGTGTCCACCTGCTGCAGCAGTACCAACAGTGCTAGCACTGGGAGCACCAGACGGACTGTCAGCACCAGCCCCACTCGCAGCACCAGCAGCAGTGCTGCCACGTGCAATGATTACAGCAGTGGAAAGGGCAGATGGAGCAGGGACGGCAGGAGGGGTGTGTACTGGCGACGGAGGGGTGGATGAGCGAGAATCCCCTGCTGCAGTGACAGGTGCAGGCGAAATGGTGGAAGGAACAGCAACAGCAGAAACAGCAATGGCAGCAGCAGCAGCTGCAGATACACTAGGCGCAATCACAGCAGCAGTAACGGCAGGAGAAGCAGCTGCAGGTGGTGTTGGTGGTGGAGGTGATGGTTGCGGTGGCGGCGGTGGTGGGGTTGGTGTGGGCGGTGTTGGTGCAGGTGCAGGTGGTGGCGGGTGAGAGACAGAAGCAGAGGAGGCATGAGCCTGGCCCCAGCGCTGCCACCAGCCAGAGGCAGAGAGGTCAAGGCACGAGGTGGAGGTGAGGGAGGAGAAGAGGTGCGCTGTGTCTGCCGGCAGGGAAGATGCGTCAAACATGCCCTGCGCGAGCAGCTTCTGGAAGTTCTTGACTGCTCGGAGAAACGTCTTGCTGCGGAACATGCTCTCCACACTGGTGGGGGAGAACAGAGAGGAGAAGGTGAAGGGATGGCACAGCGAGGCCACACGTGGAAGGACACATAAAGCAGAAGTGCAAGGAGTGGTTCACTGTGGCCATGACCGAACGGCACGTCTGCACCACAATCGCATGACACACCATGCCATGCCATGCCACGCCTTCACAGCACTGCTGTGTGCCGCTGCTGCATTCACCTGGCGGAGCCATTGGCAGTGTCGACAGCAGGCAGCATGGCAACGAGCTGACTCTTTTGTGCGTGGTCCATGCAGCGGTAGAGACTGGAGGCGTTCACTATGTCCTGTCCAAGAAGCAAGACGGATGGACAAGAAACCGATTAGAGGAGGAAATTACTGCTGAAACGGGTCGAAAAATGGGCAGGCAGACAAAGAGAAAAGAGAAAGAGAAGCTGTAACAAAGGAGAAATCTGAGCGAGCAAGAAAGGGAGACTTACTGTGAGGTTCACTGAGCACAGAGTAGAGTTTGGCGAGTAGAGGAGGAAATCGTCCGACACGATACCAGCAGCCCTGTGTACGGGAGGGAAGAGAGAGGCATAACAGAGGCAAGCTCAACCGATTCAAAGAAACATGACATTGCATCTTCATGGGTAGCACATCGAGAGTGGAGCCATGACGAGAAAGAGATATCGGAGAAAAAGGGAGAGTGCCTTACTCTGCCAAACTCGCACCCGCCACATGCTCTCTGCCTCCCACGCCAACTCCCCCACCTTGCTTTCTCGCCCCCGTCATCCCGCCCTTTTCCACATCGCCCTCTCCTATCCCTGCTCTTCCCATGCCGCCTGTCCTCCCCCCAGCCCTCCATATGCTGCCATCACTGGCGACTCGATGCATGCCCACTCGCTCCCCCCTTCCCTCCCCCACTGCATCCTCTCGCGTACCCTTCCCCACCACAGGGCCAGCACCAGCAGCACCGGAGGGGGTAGTGAGTGCACGATAGTGAGGCGAGGGCATAGTGAGAAGCACAAGGTCCCGGTGACCACTCGGCACATGCTGTAGTAGCTCCAGTTGCCCATCCTCGTCACCTTCCTCCTCCTCTTCTTCTCCCTCCTCCCCGGCTCTCTTTTCCTCCTCTACCTCAACTACATCTTCCTCCCCTCCCCCTGCCTCATCGTCTCCCCCTTCTTCTATCCACACCTCTCTCACCCCTTCCTGTCCCCTCCTTCCTCCTCCTCCATCCATCAGCAAATCGACTTCCTCATTCCATTGCACTCCCGCATCCACGTCCATATCCCCCTCTCTCTTCACCCCCTTTTCCCCACGCGCGTGCGCGCCTTTCTCTCGCCACGAGCCCTCTTTCCCCCCTCCGCCACCCGCACAGTGCCTCATCCGCAGCGTGGTGAGGTCCGCCTCGGATTGGCTGCGCGGCCGCATGCCACTGCCGGACCCCGCGCCATACAGGGATGCAGAGGACTGCTGACCTCCTCCGCCAAGAGACCTGCGCTTGGGTGGAATGGGCACGCCTGGGAGAGAGTGGGTCGACGGAAAAGTGGGAGGTGGGAGACAGGGATTAGCCCATCACATACCACATGATGCCACACGTGAGAACCATCACATGGTTTGTATGCCAGAGCCAGACCATGCCAGGGATGCTTGTGAATCTTATCGTCAACACAGAAACATTGGACCCTGCACACCTTGCAACCGGTCAGAAGCCACCACACTTCCATCGTCCTCCATTCGCATCACATCCTCGCTTCCCTCTCGACCACTCCCTCCACTGTGTGCCCAGCCTTTCCTTGCTCCGCTGTTGTCCCCTCCTCCACTCCTCTCCATGTCCTTCTCATCGTCGTCATCGTCGTCGCCCCACACCATGTCTAACTCCATCTCGTCATCCCATCTTTCGTTCGCCCCTCTACCCAATCCCGCATCACTCTGCCCATCCATCCCACACCCGCCGACGTTCCCGCTCCTCTCCCCACCCCGCACCCCTCCACGTGCCCTCTGCCAGCCCTTCCGCTTAACTCCGGGTCCCCTTCCACGAAGCCCTCTCCCCATTCGCGCGCCACCCCCTAGCGCCGTCCCCCCCGCTCCCTTCTCCGCTAGCCACGCATCTGCACCCTTCTGCGCCTCCGCTTCGCCGTCCTCGTCGCCGTCCGTTCGTTTACCGTTGGCAGCGCTTGGGCACTGCGAATGCGGGTGTTGGCGCGCGCCGGGATTTTTGAGACGCCACTTGGTGGCTGCGGCAGAGGAGAGCCCAAGCCCGCCCGCGTGCAGCGGCATGTAGTTAACCAGTGTTCCGCGCGTGCGCCACCGCGAGCCGCACGCGTTGCAGAGAACGGGCTTCTCGGGGGGACCATTGCGCCACAGTGGAGTGACTGGCGCGTCGGCGCAGTAGGGGAGAGCGAGACGCGGCCCACGAACGGGGAGAGAGTTGGGGGAGAGAGTCGTGTAAAGAATGAGGAGAATTGATTAGTATTCAACGGGATGAGAAGTCGACTCGGAAGCAGCGCAAGAAGCGCAAGAATCCTTTCTCGAGGTGGAGGAGAGCGGGATGACCAGGGATTTGCCACGACAACCCCATCCGCGCGGCTTGTAAAGGAGAACCGTCGACTAAACAAGTTAGAGGTCCTAAATGAACAGTGAACTAAAGCAGATGGATGGAAGCACAACTGAGGGTCCAAGAGATGAAGAGGGTTAAACCCACCAGCCACGCCGCAGTGGTTGCATGGCCCTTGCTTCCCCATGCTTCACGCAGCGAATTTTGCTGCGTTTCACGTGGTTCGTCAGACAGCGTGTTCAGAACGATCGCACGAAGTCTAAAAGACTGGCTCTCGAGCGGCTGCTTCTGGGCCTGCTCCTGCTGCTGCGGTGGCGATTCGCGCCACGTCTTGCCTCCCATCATGCTCGCGAGAGGCCATGAGCGTACACAGGCGACATGGCAAACATCCTTGGAAACAGGCAAAGCAGAACGAATGACTTGGGTGAGGACGGGTTCCGCAAGCACCATAACCCCTACGCCACCGCCATTCTTCTGTGTGGCTATCCTCCTTGATTTCTCCTTCGGTTCTGCTTCGCCTCGTTCGAATTCGCCCCCTGTGCCGCCTCTCGAAGTGTGCTGCGCCTGCGGAACAGCTTCAGCATGCTGGTCACACACATAGCACAGCAGTGGTCCACCATCCAACCTGCTCGCTTTCCCAAACCCCATGAGAGAAAGCGACGCGACCACAAAGAACAAACAATTACGCTGCCGCTGAAGCAAATTTTCCCAAATGGGTACACACAGGTCTTGTTTGGTTCGGATGGAGAGAGTCGAGTGACTTGTTCGCCTGCCCGCGTTGCCTGGGCACGCGCTTCGATAATATCTGTCTGCCTCGTGGCACCAATCCACGGCAGGAAGAAAGAGATTCCAGGAAGCTTGGCCTCCATGCAAGAACGTATGATAGTCACCAGGCATTTTCTGCCAACGTCAGCAATGATATTGCCACGTGAAAGGGGTGTAACCTGCCCGCTCCGTCATCAAAATTGTTCGTGCCACCAGATCCTGTGATATGCTTGGCGACACCAGTTTGTACAGCGGCCATCACCGACACCAAATGGAGCAGCGAAAAAACAAGAATTTTAACTTTACATCACCTTCACCACCCATCCGCTTGTTGACGTGTACATCACATGCACCGTCGATTACGCTCCTAAAACCCTTCTCAACGATCTGGAGAATTGTAAAACCTGAGTTGCAAAATCTGCAGCCTGCTTCATTGTTCAGAAGGAAGATAGTGGTGTCAATAATCCTTCTCACAATACACCTGAGAAATAGAGCTGGTTATAAAAAAAACAAACATTGATATCACCTTGATTGCAAACAACAAACGACGGGCCAATCAAAGTGTAGATAGCAAAGCATCTGAAACGTTATTTTCTGCAAAATATAGATGAAACATCAGTCAAATTGTTTCATGCAAGCAATGTACTTGCAGTTTATCAGTCCATGATCCTGAGTTCTGATAGCGCTGCAGTAACACCAGAGGTGTCCTTGGATTCAGCAGTTGCATAAGCAGGACACTGACCTGCAAAACAAAAGTAGGTTACATGGATTGGTACACCGTAGGTTCAAAACCTGACGCTTGTAGATTACAATCCATGCTGGGTTGAAATGTGCATGGTTGAAGAAGAACCTGACCTTCAGTGTAGCGCTTGTTCCTCCAGAAGTATACCACAGTGGATGATGAAAGTTTCGCAGGGTAGGACAATATGGTAACTCTGACATTCCTGGAAGTTCGTCACCTAGTGGCAAAAAAGTTTTTGCTGGCCATGAGGAGTATGGATCATGAAAAGAAGCCCCACGGAGCCTGCATTTGCATCAACAGTCAATACCAAGACTAGGAAGTAAAAGAACTTGTTAAAACCAGGGTGCACATTCAATTGGATTTCTGTCAAAGGTTAACCTTTGACCTCGGGGTTACTCAGTGATTTAGGAATATCTGGGGGGAGTGTTCGCTTCAGCAGGTGAACATTTGAACCCTCGAGATTTGGCAAATGTAAACCGAAGTCATCGAATGTGCTTCCGCCAATTCGTTTCCCCCCTCCCCATACCTATTCCGCTCCCACCGAAATTGTTTCCCCTTCCCCCACAATATCGTCTCACCCCCTTTCCCCTTTCCGCCAACCCAGTTGCCCTCCCCTTGATCCCCAATTTCTAGATCCAAGTGTTATCAATTTCTCCCCTGCCAAGCCTCATCTCTCACGGACGAAAAGCCCCATGCTCGCCCATTCTCAACTATTTATTCGCTACTCGTCAACCAATCAGCAGTTCCCGCAAACATGCCGCCCAAAATTTAGCCTGGAGTCGCGTTGAATGTGTACCCTGGTTTTAAAGCTGTGGCCTACATACCTCCTGGGACAGGCCTTGGTTTATCACTTGAAAACCGGGTGAACCAAGTACCTGTCTGTGAAGAAACTATCGAGGCGGAAAGAGGGAGGGGACTGGAGGTTCCCAAACCAATCGATACCCTGTTCAATACCACGTGTCGCGCCTGCAACGGAACGGGACTAGGGAACTTTCAGCGTTTTATAAATTTTGTCGCGTCTGGTTCGGGAAGAAACTCACAGAACCAGCGCCTCACGTCCCCGTTCCGTTAGGCTTCGAACAGGGCCCGAATCTTGACCTAGGGCTTCCGCCCTTCCGCACATTCGTCCCCCAACCCTTCCTCCTGTTGGAGAATCGAGTTTCTGCCGCCCCAGCCCTTTGCACACAAGCAGCAGCAAGGGGGAATGTCGGCGATGAATCAGAGCTTCGGGAAGTACTTCGAAAGTTCCACCACCAATCAGATTTCAGCCGAAGACTCGATATAGTTCAAAGCTGCCTTCAAACCGAAGTGTTGGCAGTTTCTACAGGTTTCTACACATCAGAATCAGCTATAACAGAAATATCCAGAGTTTTCTTATTCATGCACCTCATGTGGCACTCAAAGTCACTCAAGGTCCATCCAATCTAGATTGTGCCCAAGTTACCAGGGAAGTTACATTGTCTATCAGCCTAGTTTGAGCTTTCAATCTGTCTTGTTTGTGATGCCTAGAGTTGTGCTTTAGTGGGCTTGTTAATCTTGAACATAGTGAAGTTTTACCTCATCCAGTCAATTCCAGCAGCCCTGCTAAGACTTTCCAGCCAAGTTTCCAGCCCTCCAGTAGTCACAGCTACTCTGTTTTACAAGTTGGTATCAGAGCTTGTCGTTTCGATCAACCTAGCCCACCACGTTCCTATCCTAGCACCATACGAACATGGCGGGAGACAATCCATCTGGTCCTGCACTCCAGCCAGCCGGAGGAGCTTCAGAGTCAACATCAGCAGCTACTGGATTAGTGGAAGCAGTTGCACCAGGCAGTCCTTCAACAACATACTCACCACTCACCTCCTTCATGCCTAAGCTTCACCTCCCCAAGTTCAACGGCAAAGATTTTCCAACATGGGCAACTCAGTTTGAGCTCACTGCATCCCTTCTGGATCTGTGGCCTTACTACACTGGAGAAGCAGCCAAACCAGCAGCAGATGCTTCAGAAGCTGAAAAACGACTTCACGAACGACGCAACAAGGAGGCCTTCCTCTACCTACTCAATAGCATTCACGAGCAGCAGTTGAAGTCGCTCCTGCCCTGTTCTACCAAGGCAAACAGTGCAGAGGAAGCATGGAGCCGACTGAAGACTATGCACCAGTCAAAATCCGAGAGCAGCCAAGCCGAGATGTGGAGCCGCTTCATGAATCTGAAGATGGAAGAAGATGAATCAGCACAAGCCTACCTACAACGAGCTGAAGCAATGCTGGAGGAAGCAGCAGCGATCGGCTTGGAGATTCCAGAGTCTCTTTTCAAGACCGTCATCCTCACCGGCCTTACACCGGAGTGGGACACTTTCCGTGCAACACTACAAGCGCTCCCGCAGTCAATGAAGAGTCGTGCGTTCATCTTTGAGGCCCTTGTCAACGAGCAGCAGAGTCGAGACCTTGCACGGAACAAGCGGAGTGACGAAGGTGCGTGGAGTGCTGCAGCAGCCACAAGATATGGCAACCAATTCCAGAGGCAAGGAAATTTCAGCCCAAACCGCCCTCAACCCTACTACGGTACGAAATTTCAGTCACCTTCCAACCCATACAAACCCTCTCGTTTTCCTCAGTCAAGTCCTCCCTATAAGTCCAGTCACTATGTCCAGCCAAGGCCTTCGATTCCCAATCAATACCAGCCTAGGAATGCAAGAGTCAATATGCCAAGAGTCAATAATTTCAGCCAAGCCCCGAATGCTAAAAAGTTTAATTTTGAGTGTTTTTGTTGTCATGAGTGGGGTCACCCGTGGTATGCTTGTCCTAAGAAGCCTCCTAATTGGGTCCCCCCACCTCAGCTACTATCTGAAAAAGGTAAGGCAGCCATAGCAAATATAGCAAGTCATTCTACAAGTCAAGATGAGTCCAAAGAGTCCGATGGTCCTGTCCTTTTTAACGCTGCTACTTGCATGCACGTTTTCTCTACTAGTAGTGAGGAGTTTATTCTTGATAGTGGCTGCTCTGAAACCATGACTCCCTATCAGTCCATTCTCAAGGATTTTCAGCCCTCATATGACTCAAAAGCTGTGACTCTTGCTGATCTTGGCAAAGTACCAATCAAAGGAGTCGGCAAGCTTGAGTTCGAAAAGGATGGTAAGTCATTTTGTGTCAATAAAGCTTTGTTTGTTCCTGATTTGGGAGCAAACTTGCTCTCAGCCGGACAACTCGAAGAGAAAGGTGCCTCCGTTCTCTT